TAGTAGAATTTCAAACAACAAAATCATCTGAAAGTCAGTCTCTCGTCAGCTTCTGATGCCCTCATACCTAAATCTCCAATGCCATCTTTTGAACTCAAAGCCCTTACTTCGCGGTTCTCAACTTCCCCTCAGGACTTCCTGATCAAGAACCTGCTATCAAAACATACACACCCTAATATCGAAATCTAGAACGAGGCAAAAAAATCAATAACGATACGAACACAACACCCCATGAAGAGAAACCCAGGACACCCCATCAAACCTCCCATATTTTCAACCTACAAAACAAGACCCCTCCTCATAATCCCGCCCAGCACACTGACCCTCATCTCCTCCCCTCAAACTCACGATCCATTCTCGCCCAGCCCATCACTTATCGTTCGACGTGCAACAAAACACCTTCGACCTTCTCCCCAACTCCCCTATTCCTCCCGATTCCTTATATCTTCTCAAATTTCCCTATCTCTATTCCACTCGCCCGAGAAGTTCTACTCGGTGACACGAATGCGGTTTCATTAGTGTGACTCGGATATCCGCGTCCGCGTCCGTAACCACCCGGAACCTGCAAGCATGCGTTGCGCAATGGTAAACTTGGCGTTGATGTTCCGATTTCTCTTGGCAGCAGGTTAGTGTGGTTGGACTGCATTTTGATTTTGGTGTTGTTGGTAAAACTGATAGATAATAACCTCATATAGATTGTTAAAAACTCAACCCGATGTCCATCTAATTGAACATTAGTTTTACGAATACATGAAATATTACAACACCATCTGATTTTGATGAATTAGATTGAAAATATTTATCCTTTGACGCGAGTCAAACACACAGACGCAATCGGCCTGTCCAGGCGAAGGAAAAAACCACAGCTTGGCGATAAAACCCCCTTGGCACCACGCCATCACCACGCAAAACAAAGAAAAAAACTTAAATCCCAAGAAATCTCGATATGCAACAAAACATCAATTTCCACCCTCTAGTCCTTTTCAGTTCTCGTAAGGCCCCTTGGCTCGTCTTGTTTGCCTGCATCTTCCCGACCAGAAACGTAACTACCAAGAGTCTCCAAGAGATTGCGATATGCAACATTCACATTGAAGATAAGAATCACATTACTTTTTCAATCTTTGAGGCCACCAATGATGGGCTAGTAAAATGTACGTGGTTGAGTGTGAAATGATCATGTGAAATTGGAATTGCTAAGCTACTTGCTCTTGAGCAGAAACGAACGTGCTAAAAGGGGGAAATAAAGTAAAGCAAAATGACCACTCGTTCCGTTCTCCGTGAGTCAATCAAACAGGATTCTCAATTAGAAAGAATCAAATCATTTCAAATAAGAAGGCAACCCGCTACCAAATTTCAAATCCCAAATTTTCTTCGATCCATAAGTAATGAAAGCGAGAACTGCCCACCTGACAAGTACACTCTTGACTCCCTCACCGCCAAGACTTGTCACAATTCCCAGCCAATAACTCAATCCTCTAACCTCATTACCTTGCCTGTCGAAGTTTGGTTTCTGCCTACTGGACTTGAGGAATTGGGCAAGTTTGGCATCGGTATATGGTGGGTAGCGAACATTGAGCATTTTTTCGATCCAGCTAGGAGTCGTGACAACAGAACGGAGATGGGTGAAGGCGAGGAAGGATTGCTCGCCTCGATAACAGCCAGTTCCACTAGTTCCTACTCCTCCGAACGGAAGAGTTTGTATTGAGCCGTGGAAGAAGGCGTCGTTGACAGTAGCACCGCCAGATGTAATGCTGCCAAGCACTGGTTGAGATGTTAGTAAGGTACGTCAAAGGATACTTGAGTTGCGTATAGTAGTTATGAAAAGCTGTCACTTGACGTCGGTTTCCATGAATATTGTCACCGATGGAGATTATCAAAATGAGATTGATTGCAAACACAGAACTATCTGTAAATGACGTCGAATATTATGTCGTTTGTTGTCCAAATCACTGATCCAGAGAAGAAAGCATCGCTTAGGAAACGTATCCTTCTAGATGCACAAATAACGGGCCAAATACAATGTGAAAATTATACATACTCTTGTCAGTTTCTTCCTTTGTTCCAAATGGATAGAATCCCAATGGAGTTGAATGAATATCATGAGCGATATTGATAGCTTCATCAAGACTATCAACTGGTAGGATAGGAATCAATGGACCGAAAGATTCATCCACCAACATCGAATCTTTTGGACTATCAACCAGAACCACCGTCGGCGCGATGAAATTCTCAGCTTCATCTAATTCCCCACCAAGCAGGATCTTTCCTCCTGTGTTATCAAGCATCTTTTTGATTCGTAAAAATTGTCTGTTGTTGACAATTCGGCCATAATCGGGACTTGCTTTGGCGCCATTAGGAAAGAATTCTTTGTAGGCAATTCCGAGTTGCTCGATAAAAGCATCTAAGATTTCCTTTTCCACCATGACATAATTCTGGCCAATGCAAACCTGTCCGGCATTAAGAATCTTACCCCATAATAATCTTCTGGCCGCAAGATTGGGATCCGCATTCTTCGATATGATAGCTGGATTTCTACCACCAAGCTCCAAAGCAACTGGCGTTAAGGTTTCCGCGGCCTTCTTTGCAATAATGGTTCCCACCGTTTCACCTCCGGTATAGAAGATTTTATCCCATTTCTCGTTCAACAAAGCTGTCGTCTCGGGAACAGCTCCATTGACCACTGTATATGCCTCTGGATCGAGACTCTCTTCAACAATCTTCTTCAAAATCATGGCAGTCTTGGGTGACTGCTCAGAGGGCTTCAACACAGCTGTACATCCTGCAGCGATAGCTCCAACAAATGGACCCAAAGCCAATTGAACTGGGAAATTGAATGCACCGATGACCAAAGCCGTGCCCAAAGGTTCCTTTCGAATTCTAGGGCTGAATAAGGTATTTTGAAGAGCCATATCTGGAGCAGCTTCGTCCTTCATCCATTTCTTTAAGTTCTTGCAAACAAATACAATATCATTTTTCATCCATTCTGTTTCCGTAAGAACAGTTTCGAAAGCGGGTTTTCCCAGATCGCTTTTCTCTGCTTCGACAAGTGCATCACTATTATCGACAATGGCCCAATAAAGCTTGCGAAGTTGCTTCAGACGGTATTCAAGTGGTTTCGTTTTTTGTGAGCGAAAGGTAGTTCGTAGGAGCTTAACTGTGGAGGGGATAGATTCGAGTGAGCTAGGCTCGAATGGAGCTATCTTAATTGACGACATTGTTTATTTTATGACCAAGAACCCTATGAGAGTATTTGTATGTGTATGCTCGACGTGATTGGAAAACTGTTGAAAGAATTAAAGTGTTCAATAAGAATCCAGATATTTGATTAATTTCAAAGGTAGGTATGGAGAACAATTATAAAATAGAAGCAAGTTGACCAACTGGCTAATTGTTATAGTTCAAAGCTCTTGGTGTTCCTCTCTATTAGGTATCTAAACCGAGGCAGGTTACCTTATCCGGCCGTAAAGATCAGCGGGGTCGGGGCAATATAATGTCTTACAACTATATTTACAATTTCACATGTGCCTTGCAACTCGGAAAACAGTCTAATTCCGTACATTTCGCATTTTCGAAATTTAGAATTGCTCCGAGTCGGAAATACAAATTGTTCGACCCGATGTACGGACGACGCCTACACTAGGCTATCAAACCGTTGGTATCACTTGCTTTGTCCCCTACATGTCAACCAACTATCGTAGCCCCTCCAATTTAGATGGCTTAATCTGTACATACAATATCTTACATATTTTGCAGTGACTTTTATACTATCCTCTTGACCCCAACCTTCTTGTTCCCAATTATCCTTCCGCCAGCTGCAACAGTTTCAGGAACCGGTTCCTTGGCTATTGGATTAGCCAATCTGTGTCGAATTGTTTCAACTCCATCCACAAGTTGACCAATATGTTCTCGATTCAAGTCTGTCTCCATCATCTTCTGGCGATAGTCTGCCAGTTCTTGCTTTCTCTCTTTTGTTAATCTCCATTCTACAGGAAATCTTGGCTTCACTTTGAAAACGTGATGGCGTGTGTCTAATGGAATATCTTCGAAAGTATCGCCGGTCTGTTTATTTTTATGTTAGTTCATGAGTATCTCAACGACATGATATCACATACCTTTGCTTCTGCCAATAATGAATCAACCATATCACCAAGATATCTCTTGTTTTGGGCCTGTGATGGGTACATTTCACAACTCATTTTAACAATATCCGTTTCTGGGTTAAGTCTTGGCCCAACCAATTTTCTGAGTTTATCCGTTTGGACTTCTGTTAGTCCTGGCATATCTGCAGGACAAAACTCCATGACAACTTTCTTCTCTGCTGGATGTTGTTCGCCCATGTATGAAGTATATCTGAATCGTAAAGGAGTTTCGGCTGAAGGCGGTACAAATGGTTTTGCCAATTCTATATATCACTAGTTAGAAAAAAAGCCATGTTCTGGGTTTGTCCATTCATGTAAATGTGAAATGAACTCACTGCTCAACATTGGCATTTCCCAAGCTGCCAACCTGTTATAATGTCTTATTTCTCGAACCTGCTCCAATTCCATATGCGCTAAAGTCGTGATATCATCGTGGTCATCCTCTCTGTCGTCCTCATCAAACGGTTCTGGATCTCCCATATTTAGAAAAGTTGGCTTCAACTTCTTCTTCACACCTTCGTCAAATCCATATGATGGTAGATTATTTGCATGTCGAGCACCCGCATTCTCGAACAACTCGTCAATCTCTTCCATGAATTCATCCTCGTCTGGTTCGGTTTCCTGGAGTTCCTTAAATTTTGGATCGATTTTATATTGCCTTGATGTGATTGAAAATGACCTCCTTTGGGCGATTGGCTTGTTGGTGTATCTGGAGGGAATACTTCTACATGAGCAGCATCGCGCTGTCATACGCAGACTTTGTAGGGCCGTGGCCATTGTGGTGGTAATGGCTGATTCTTCTGAATGTTCAATCTCCAGATGGAAATCGTTCCGAAATAAACAATTTGGCCCTAACCTATCATAGATTAGTGGATTAACATCCCACCTAAATCGTACTTCGGAAAATCTCCAAGCTCCGAAGCAGATCAATCAATTAATCCGTGAGTTACGATCATTTAAACAGAGATGTCCAAGATCCAACAATCTACTTTTAACAGTACTGGTAGAAATCCAGACTTGACAGGGAGCTTAATCGTTATCTAATTATTATTCCCATCATCCAGTCATGGGGCTGACTCCAGAAGGCGCACCGCCAAAGGTCGCTTTTGTTACAGTCGGCGCGACTGCAACTTTCAAAGAGCTCATCGAGGAAGTGTTCGCATCACATACTTTACAGGTACTAGTCCAGGAAGGATATACGAAACTAAGGGTACAAGCTGGGCCCGATGCCGAATACTGGAAAAACAACATACCAGCGGAGAAGGGATCTGGACTCGAGATCGAAGTGTTCGATTTTGACCGTAACGGTCTAGGGCACGAAATGCGACAATGTAAAAAGGGAGGATTTCATGGCACGGGGGAGAGTTTAGAAGGTGTAGTGATTTCACACGCTGGTTAGTAGACTCTCGAACCACTACGTTACATTGAGAAAGTGACTGATGTTGAGATGCTATAGGTTCGGGAACAATTCTGGATGCACTCCGAATCGACGTACCCCTCATTGTAGTGCCCAATACTTCACTCCTCGATAATCATCAGGTAGAGTTGGCAGATGAGCTGGAAAGACAAGGCTACGTCACCAAAGCATCGGGACCCAGGTAGGTAGATTTGGATTGTGAGAACAACGGACTAATACAGTTGAATTTAGGGGCTTAGAAGATGCCATTCGCAAAGTAGAGAGAAGGAAGAATGGCAAGCCGGGCGGTTCGAAAGATTTGCAGGGACGTAAGAATTGGAGGGGACGCGAAAATCCTAGTATTGCACCAGTACTCGACGAAGCTGCCAATTATGAAGAAGAGGTTAGAAGTGTATTGGACTAGTTTTAGAGGAAGTCTCAAGTAAATTTTGATGAATTTATGATGGTGAGCGGAGTTATTGGGAGGGGCCCGGTTTATTTTGGCCATTGTAGTTGGATTGGATTGCAAGATACCCTCAATTTCATATGATTGTTTTGTGAATTTAACATAATAAGAAATCTGTCAAAGAAGATCTCGGAATGTCAGACCTTGAAGCTCGGAAGAAGCTTGGGATTTCGGACTCATCTTGCATTGAAATCGTCATAATACATGTGGGAAGTGATCTTGTAGTTGTCGTACAACATTCGATTTATTGCGATCCGATTGCCTGAGAATAAATGTAGTCGTCATAACATAAATTACGCTGTTTCTCCAAACGGGTAAATATGAGGTTATCCCAGCATTGTACATCGTGCATGCATAAAATTGATGGGCACGTTGATCAGGTGGATGAATCCTTGGCATGATACGCGAATTTCTTCAACAACTCTCCTATCAGTTACACCATGTTTCTTACGAATAGGCTCAAAGCATACTTACAACAATCTCTTCGTTACACGTAATCCTCCCTCGGGTAACATGAATATTGGCAACACTGATAGACCTTGGAGATAACTTTGGAGTGAATGACCTCTTCATCGGGAGCCCAGTGAGTAGTTTGCGATTTGGTACTCTGCGTAGTTTCGTCGATTCTTCCAAGAGCTCTTTCTAATCAAAATCAAAGCTTGTGATACCAACAACCCGACTCAAGGATGCCAAGTCCTGCAGGCGATTACTCTCCACGTTTTCTAAGCAGCGTAATCAGATTGCTTCTCTTTGTGCTTTCGTACCTGCACTGATCCTGGTCGTTGTGTTCGCGGGGTACTCATTACGAAGCTGTTACCATTGTAGGAAGGTATTGAGGTCAGCAAGGCATACTGCATCTCGCATATATCGTATACAGTGTATACACAACATTTCTTCTTCATCCCGAAATTAACGGAATATCCCCGAGTGATGATCTTCATCGTTTTTATCTTCATGCTTCAAGTGTCATGAATTTTGCTGATCGGCACTGCGGTAGCCCGGCACTGAAAGCTTAACTTTCTTAGTCCTAGTAACCCTGTGGTATTCGTGGGGAACAGTCGAGCAAGCGTTCTTCTAGTCCGGTGTTTGGACAGGAAACTAGATATATGTGATCATGATTCATTACTATTAGAACTAAGAGATTAACCAGCAATCTACAGCGTCCAGTGGCGGTTCGGCAGATGAACTTTCTGAAGATTTTCCAATTCCTTGGGGATTTCACGTGAAAACTTCTCGAGATTTATCGTTTATGTACTGTCATGCTTTCTTGGTGCTGCGAAGGTAACCGGCGTAGTTTAACGACTAACACACTAAAGACGGGTAAATATGTCTACGCCTCAACGCCATTGATTGATTAGTCAATCTTCATGTGAACTTGGAGTGCATACAAAATGCTTCTCTGCAGGTCTCTTCATCGGGATTTCGGAAGTTGACTGGTGTAGATGCTACCGTCCCCATGCATCTTGTGAACTAGCTACCTATAATGTTGCTGACAATTTGGCCATGGCTCATGCTGGTAGATATTTGTAGTATCTTTATATGACGAAGTCGATCTCACTATTATTTCCAATAAATATATAAGTACAGAATTTCTTCTTTTGCACTCTAAGTCTGAGCACACAGAGGATAATAAAACATCCGTTCACAATGCATTCAATAACTCGCCTGCTCAGTTCATTTGTGGCAGCTGGACTTCCTCCAGTAGTCTTTTCAGCTCCTGCACCTAAACCTCAGATGAGCTATGGCGAACAGTCAGTAGCTGTCGGTGGTGTATCAGCACCAGTACCTACAGTTACTGCCGCCACAGGATCACTTTATGGCGATAAATCATTACTAGGGGAAGCTGCAAAGCCATCTCCCGTGTCTGGAGGAGATTCTGCCATTGTTTCGAATGCACCAATGGTCAATGGACAGGAAGCAGATGCAGACCTAGGTTTATATTTGGATTTCAGTAGCGTTCCGAATGCACAACCTATTCGAGGCTCAACAGGCCAAACAGACCCTGGGCCACGTGAGTTAAAAGAAGCATCATGAGATTAATGTGAATCTAACATCATCGTAGAAACATACGAATACCAGAAGCTGAATCCTGATCTTTTTGCCCCGCCAGGAACAGACAGTGGCGATGTACCACAAGCACAATGGCCAATGAGTTTATCTCGTAATAGATTGGGCAGTGGGAAGAAATCAGGATGGGCAAGACAGCAAAATACTGGTCAACTCCCTTCCGCGACTGAAATGGCTGGTGTTGATATGCGTCTCGCACCAGGGGCATACCGAGAGCTGCATTGGCATACAGCAAATGAGTGGTCGTTGGTGCTGAAAGGAAGCGTAAGATTATCTGCTGTCAATGAGAAGGGTGAAAGTTTCATCGACGATATCAGCGCAGGGGACGTATGGTTTTTTCCAGCCGGGGTTCCACATTCCATTCAAGCGCTGGATGAGGGTTGTGAATTCCTGTTGATTTTCGACGAGGGAGACTTTTCGGAAGATGGCACTTGTAAGTATAATCATTTCTTCCCCAGGCTACATTCTTCGATGCTCGAGCCGATCTGGAGGGGCTTAAAGTTGCATCTAAAACCGTTTCAAGTCTCTAGATCACCTTAGCACTTATAAAATAGTAATAACTAACCCTCATTCTAGTCCTCGTCTCCGAAATGTTTCTCCGCAACCCCAAATCTGTGCTTTCCAAAAACTTCCAAACCCCGGTCTCCTCCTTTGACAATCTCCCTTCAGATCAACTATACATCTTCAACGGCACTCCCGCTCCCGCCAACATCTCCGCCCAAAACCAAACCAGCGCCGCCGGTCCCCTCCCCCAAAAAGACTCTTACACCTACCACTTCTCACAACAAGCCCCTTATACCGTCCCCGGCGGTTCCGTAAAAATAATCGACACAACCACCTTCCCCATCGCCTCCAACTTCGCCGCCGCCCTCGTCACCATCCAACCCGGCGCCATGCGCGAAATGCACTGGCATCTCACATCCGACGAGTGGAATTATTTCCTCTCCGGCTCCGCACGCATCACCATCTATGCCGCACCCAGCAGTTCCCGAACCTTCGACTATACAGCTGGAGATGTGGGATATATCCCCGCGAGTAATAGCCACTATATTGAAAACACGGGAACGGAGGATGTGGTTTTTTTAGAAGTGTTGCAGCAACCTGTCTTTAGCGATATTAGTGTAGCACAATGGTTAGCGTTGACGCCGAAACAGGTGGTAATGGATACGTTGGGGTTGAGTGAGGAGGTTGTGGAGGCGATACCGAAGGAAAAGACTCTGATTAAGACGGGAAATGCGAATTTGACTGCGTTGGCTGCGGATGAGAAGGGGAGTGGGGCTTATGAGTAAAGGTGGAGATTAGGAACGGAGTGAGGAATGGTGATGTATTTAGGGGATGGAATTTTTAGTATAAGGGATGGGTCGATGCCGAGTAGATCTTCGAGTTTTGGAAGTTTTTATTTTACGTTCTAGGATACCTTAGCACATGTCGCATACATATATATGTATATGAATTTGAGAAAGCAAAAATCCTTTCGAATTGACTCACTTGCATGTTTGAACAAAAGCAAGAGACGAATGTAATTCTTTTATGCGTATTTCGAGTGGAATGACCAGTCTAAGTCTACCATACTAATATTTATGTACAATCCCACTCCTATTCTAACGCCCGATAATGGCTTTGAAGCAATATCATCTACCGTTCCACCCTCCCCACAAACCCCCCCTTCAACACTTCCACCAACTCATCCAACCTCTTCACCACCAAATCCGTACACTCGTGTTCCCACAACTCCTCATTAACACTATTCCCCAACAAAACCGTTGCCGCGCCCGCTGCAAACCCAGCTTTCATATCATCGATCGAATCGCCCACCATAATTGTGTCTTGAGGGTCCACATTCCATTCTTTTGCGATGTGGAGGATTCCAGCGGGATGAGGCTTTGGAGGTCGGAATTCACGAGTGATGATGGGGGAGAAGGGGGTTTGGGGGAGGTGGGTTGTGAGGAGGTGGTGGACGGGGGGTGGATGGTTGCGGGTGAGGATTGCGAGGGGGAGGGTGGAAGTGAGGGTGGAGAGGTAGGTGAAGAGGGTTTGGAGGCCTGGGTTTGGGGGGCTGGTTAGTACTTCGGGATATTGTGGAGGGGAGGAGAGCAGAGGGGTGAGAAGTACCGGGTTGAGGAACTTGGGTTAGCATTGCGTCCCGTTCTATGGCTCGGATTTTTTCGTGTGCCGCTTCCTGTTCGGATACAGGGAGAGAATAGATGTGGTCGAGGATATCGATAGACTTGTCTATTCCTAGAGCATTACGCATTTGGCCGAACCTATGGCAGGATTAGGAAAGAAACAAGGATTGAGGGATACTTTAGCCCCTAGTATAGTGAAATACAAAAGATGCTTTGTCGTGTGGTACATACATATAGGTCTGAGGCTCACTGTTGAAAAAGTTAGCACGTAACATTTGAGGAAGATGAACAGTTTGATGGATGAGTATGAATATCCGAGAAGCATGTGAGTGAGATTTTCATCCAGAAGAGAACAACCATATTCTAGATTTTGATATTGTCCATTACCAAGAATCATCACGAGTGACTACTCATAGTTGAAATCGCATTTTTGCAACAAATTACTGAAAGTATCAAGTCTTGTGACCCAGCAAACTGGCTTTTTACTTTTCAATCTTCTATGCAACAGTCTTTCGAACTGTAGCCACCAACACCAACCAGAGAACCCCTGACAATCCTCTACAGACGCAAAAACAAAAGGAATGGTCATCTCCTATCCAATTTCGCTCATTTTGAAACTTCAAACAAGATCAAAAACTTGATTTCCGCCATCTCTCCCCATCCTCAAGAAGTAGTCTTTCAACTAGAAATTCCCTCTACCCTCGGACCTCAAATATCAAACAAAAAGCCTCCTGTAAGGAAAAAGCAAACAAAAAACTCACCACAAAGTCCCATCCATATCAAAAATGATTCCCTTCAACTTCCTTCCACTCTCCCCCCCCTCCCTACTCTTCCCCTCATCCCCCAAAGGAGCAAACCTTCTCACTCTCTGTCCTTCTCCTCCCCCTCCTCCAACTACATCTGAAACCCGTGTCGTCATACCGAAAGATCTCTTAGTATCCAGCCTCGCACCTATGCTCAAAAAACTTTTACCCCGCGTCTCCGTTCCAAGATTCCTCACAGAACAAACTCTTCTTGCAACAGCAAATTTAGGCGCTATTTTAACTAATGATGAGAGATGCTTGGAGTAAATACTCATCGTGTGTAAGCTCTTATACCGAAAATCCGTGAGATCAAGAATGGGTACATTGACATCGGCCAAAGATAGAAGTGGCGGGGGTGGGGTCATGAACCCACCTCGCCCACGCAGATTACTAGCGCTTCACCACCAATCCAATTACATTCATGGCGTATTGCACAGTTTTTAAGTCACTGTATTGTAATATTGATGCTATTGCGAGTCTTACGTCCACCCATCTAAGATTGTTGGATGCTGATGTTAAAAGTATACAGGGTCATTGCTATCAAATCATTGATATCATATGAGGCATGTCCACTATCAGTAGAATCACATCTACAACGACAAGACAACTACTGTGGTAAAGACTTTTGATTAAAACAACAAGTAGGTATCTATTCATATCAATCAAGCTCGTCTTACTTCCAAGATCTCAAGCATCAAACTAGGCATATCAGCTCCTCACCACCAAGCACGCATTATCAAATGAGGCGAAGCCAGATACAGACAAAAAGTAGATTCTTCCGAGTGATACAATAAAACACTTTGTAACAACATCCCAAGAGTCTGTGTACCACAATATTTAACTATATTCCTATTCCTATGTTTCGCTTTCTTTTGTGATTTCATGCATCGCTTCCTCCCTTCCTCCTTCCATTGCCCCCACCATTTAAACACGCGGAAGACAAAGCAAGCTACCTACACTACATTCACAAATCCCTACTTGCTACAGAGAAGATGATCCACATCCATAGGCAAGATATATGTCTGATTTGGTGACGTATCTGCTAGCTGGATGCGGTCAGAATCTTGTTATATCAATTTGCTGCACATTTGAGAAATGCGACACTCCGAAAAGATGCTCTTCGCTCCATAATGATATGAGAAATTGTGCAAATATATCAATGCGTTATGACGAGATTGGAATTATGAACCCTGGGCTGCATAGCCTGAGCCATATAGGCCATTACCAAACGTTGCCTGACGCCGACTTTCTTTATGGGTGTTATCTTCGGAATGCTTTCTGGGTGGCGGTGGTAAGGGACCTGCTGGAGCTGGACGCATTGGAAGGGTTGTGGTGGTAAAATTGGCTGTATTTGCACTAGAGGGACCATTGCCCTCATGTGGGTCAGGTGCGTTCAGGGCGGCAAGTTTGGGTATCGAGTTGGTGGTGCTGCCTCTTATAGGTAGACCAGGATGGAAGGCTATACCTCCTCGACCCGAAATACTACCATTCTTGGTAGGAGAGCGGGATCTCGGGTTATGGTTCTCGTTGTATTGGGGAGAGGTTACCGAGGAACGTGGATCGGCATTTTTGATGGGAATATCTCCTGATGTAGGCGTTTGCGAAGCATTAGGCGAATCATCGCCGCGTAGAACATCTCTACTCGCTGGTGATAATTGAGGCGCAAGATGTGACTTGCGGTTGTCTCGTTCTAACATGCTGACGGCCCACTCACGAAGATCCACGGGGGTTCGCTTGGCAGCTTGGACGAAAGGCTCACGTTCCTATTAATCGTTAGTATATAGATCCTCAACATTGATGCGAGAGAATGCAACTCACATAAAGCTCTTGAGGGGTTGGCCTCTCTTCTGGAGTCTTAGACATGCATTTCTGGATCATGTCTTCAAGGATTTGAGGAAAAGCTTCGCTCTTGGGTAGCCTTGGCGCAGGCTCATAAACAATTTGTTGAAGAAGGTCAAGGATACCCGATGGTGCTCCATCTCCGTCAGATAAGTGCTCACTAGCGTCGAATGGAAACTTTCCAATTGCGAGCTCCATAATGGCGAGACCAAAACTCCAGACATCAGACTTTACAGTGTATTTCTGTCCTTGAATTCTCTCTGGTGCCATATATGTGGATGTTCCAACGAAGGTGTCTGCCACTGAATTGACCAATTCTCCTGAAACACCAAAATCACACAGCTTAATCTGACCCTTCGAATTCACCAGGATATTGGAAGGCTTAATATCTCGATGCATGATGTGGTGTTTGATGTAAAGATACGTGAGGCCTCCGAGGGTAGCTTCTGCGATTTTTCCAAGTACATCGACTCGAACAGGACCGAAATGTGTCGAGATTCTATCTAAAGATCTGACAAAAAGTTAGCTTCAGCGTTGTAATCATGGATTCTCTCCCAGCCACCATACCCAACATCCATATATTCCATACACATGATGACATCGTTGTTATCGCTCAAAAAAGCACCATAAAAGTTGACGATGTATTCCGAATTACAGTCGTACATAATTTGTAATTCTCGAACGATTCGACGACGCATTTCCTTTTTGGCTTCGACATGTATAACCTGTGTTTGCATAAGCGATTGTTTACAATTTGAGTCTTCGAGACTTTGTGCCAGCATACCTTTCTCGCCATGACCGTGCCTGTAGCCATATGTCTGACTTTGCTGACGGTTCCTCCATTTCCGTGACCGAGATCTTTCAGAACTTCCAAATCCTCCCTCTTCAAATCCAACTTGTATTCGATTCCAATCTCTAGTTGTGCGGTCTGTCTGCTACTTTCACTGCTAATCCCACCAGGAATCTGTATATCACTCTCGGATGGTGCCGCAGCACGAGGTGGGGGTGCATTCAATGCTAGACCTTTTACATTCTTCCTCTTCAATGTGCGCACCGAACCAATACCGTCCGACATTTTGTAATGATGGTCTAGAAGCTAGAAGTATTGACTGATGCTGAGACGAAATGAAATTTCAGAATCGCGCAAAGTTCTGGGAACGATTTTCCCAGTTGGCGCTTGGAAAAGGTGCTGTCTGCACGAGCGTACGAGCACGAAATCGAAAGCAATGATGATGAGTGAATGAATGGGTGTTTGGTAGATATTCCTTCAGCCCCTATTATGGATGATTATTCAAAGTAGACGAAATAATCAGGAGATCGAATAAAGTAAATAGTTCACTTGTCGTCGAGGATTATGGGATTTGGTGGAGGGACAAAGTGAAAGCGGGACAGTCGTTTGGGTTTGGCGCTATGGCAGCTACTCCTGTAATAAGAACGTGGAGGCGCGGTTGAAGAGAAATTCAATCGGGGAAATATTGTTTGGGAAAATGGAACAATGAAAAAGTACCCAAGTGGTGGTAAAAAAATCAATGGAAAATGTCTTTACCCCTTAATGGTTGTGATTGTGTTGTATTGGGCAAATCCTTCTCAGAGAGGGGTTGATATTTCATCTAATAGGCCGTTCCAATACGTACTATCTAGCTCGGTAGGTATATAATTCAATATTTACAGTATTATTGCCCATGTCATATTTGTGTACTTTCGTACCTGGTGAAGCTATTCGTTCGTGCTTGTCTCATCAATTTAAGTTTCTAACAGAGAAGTTTGCATTGGGCATTATCTGGCAGGCGCGTTTATCATTTGGACGAATGAGGATGTGAAGACAGCTTTGGGGGCCAATGTTGGAGACCAGGACTCCAGGAGATTTGAAGCATGAAGCGCTCTGGGCTGTGTGTATACAGAGAATACTTACTATATGACCCCACTGGTCGTTAATTCCATACAAGTCAATGGGAGAGATCCCCAGCAGATAGTAGCCATTGTTGTGTCATGTAAATGGAGATCCATTTGCCAAACCAAACAAATTGTTGTATTTGGATGGGTTGTAATGAGTAATGTATACCTACCTGCTTCTTCAAGAAGATGTTTTAGTTCTATTGGAAATCTGGTACTACTGGCTATCTATCTGTTGTACCTCCTAGGGACCTGGAGGCATCAGATAGTCCGTTTCCTCTGCTCCTTCTCGTACATAGGTAGATACTACGGAGATAGGCAGCTTTCGGTTTGGGTTAGAGATGCACCAAACGTATGTACGTACCCGTACCACAAGGATTTGTGATATTGATTTGATATCTGGATTGGGAGAGAGAGAGAGAGAGAGAGAGAGAGAGAGAGAGAGGAGCGAGTTTACCTCTTAGCGAGGGATGGTTGGAATTCTGTAATTGCAATATCGACCACACCTAGGTATACAAATTCTGATGCTAATTTATATCGCCCCAAAAACTCATGGCCATTAATGATTGTAGTTCTGGTACAAGCAACCAACGATGTTCGAAACTCTCTACTCTGATAGTTATTGCGCGGATCCATTTGGCCAGTCACTTCCAGTGTGGCTCGTGTGGCTAGAACCTGACCGGGGAAGGAATAGATATGACATTTGAGCCTCATATACGAGGCTATCGATCACCAGCCACAATTAATAAACTCCCAAGTCGCGAGAACTAAAAGGCTGCCAAAAAGTTGTCAAAAGGCGGTTCTTTCAGGTTATTTTCAGCTTTCAACTACAATTTCCTTACATGAAATTATCACAATCGCCTTGCATGCAGCAATTGTGACCTCACAGCCTTCGATATTTTCCTTAACAACTACCAAAAAACCCAGCAAAGAACACCGCAATCATGAGTATGCGCGATCTGATTGACGGTGACGTTGAGGTTGATGAAGAGGAGAACGATGAGGAATTCGACGAGGAAACTGGTGAAGCTCGCTCCGCGGAACCCCGAAGACAAAATGGAGGCTTGGAAGATGATTCAAGTGAGGAAGAAGATGATGACGATGAGGAGGCAGCTCGTGCAGTATATAGCTCTCCTCCTAAATCTCCATTTGCGCATTGTTACTGATACGTTACCAGATTCGAGAAGGCTTCATCGTAGATGAAGATGAAGAGGACGATGATGATGCGAGAAATAGACGTCGCCGCAGAGAAAAAAAGCGCCGCAGAGAGCAGCGCGAAGAAGAGGGTTTGGATGACGAAGATTTGGATCTCATTGGAGAAGCGAACCCAGAATGGGAGAGAAAGACAACACAGCAGGTTTGTTACATTCGCATATATCTACCTACTAAGCTAATTTTTATGCAGCCAAAGTTTAAGCGTCTCAAGCGTGGCCACCGAGAAGACAACGATCAGGACCGAGAGCGAGGCCTGGACCAAATCTTCTCTGATGATGAAGAACAAGATGCGCCACACGATTATGAGCGATCGTTCGCACGCCCGGACCATCGTATTGATGAATTCGCGGATTTCATCGAAGAAGACGAGCTTGAGGACGATGAAAGAGACAGACTTGCCGAGGAAAGAGAGGTAGCCCGTCCAAGAGAAAAGGGCTACGTTGGTGGTGCCGAAGCATCAGGTCTCGACAAGGATGCTTTAGATGATATGGAAGCTATCTTTGGAAATGGCGAGGATTACGACTGGGCTCTCGCCTTGGAGGATGAAGCTGAGGCAGCCGAAGCTGGGGACCAGAACCTTGAACTCAAGGATGTCTTCGAGCCTTCGCAGCTCGCGGAGAAGTTACTTACGGATGAGGATAACTATATTCGGTACTCCGATGAACCGGAACGATTCCAGCTCGATCGAAAACCTTACAAACATCTACAAATCACCGACGAACAATTTAAAGAGGAAGCTCGATGGATTACAAGTCTCATTTGGCCAAAAAAGAACTTCAACGGAGACATGCAAGCTCCATTCACCAAAGCTATTAGCAAAGTCTTGGAGTTTTTTGTTGTGGATGAAGTCGAAGTTCCCTATGTGTTCCAACATCGAAAGGATTATCTCATCCATGCCAGGAAAAATAAAACGCGATCGGATAACCCAGATGCGCCTGAATATGAAGTAAGCGCAGACAAGCTCCTGAACCAAGACGACCTCTGGCGCATTTTGGAACTCGACTTGAAGTTTAGGGCACTGATCGAGAAGCGTAACGTCCTAGACAAGACCTATGAGAACCTAAAGTTGGCCGTTGGTATCAGTGATGCAACCTTCGAGCAAATGTTACCGGACGCCCAAACTATGGAAGAGCTTCAAGATATTCAGGATTACCTGTATTTCCAATACTCCTCGGAAATCAAATCTCTGCAGGATTCCAACGGTGAAGTCAAAGAAAAGCGAGCCGGCAACAAAGCATCAAGATTTGATCGTGTTCGTAAAAGCAGGGCTTATGAACTCGTGCGAGCTTATGGAATCACAGCCGACGAGGTTGCTGGAAATGTTTTGATGGAAGGCCGCAAAAAGTACACAGAAGATCCTCCTTTGAGTCCAATTGATCTCGCCGATACTCTGGCTAGCCCAGAGGACTTCCCTACGGGCGATGGAGTTTTGGTAGCAGCACGAAGTTTGTTCGCCGAGGAACTTTTCATGAGCCCAAAGATGCGTCAGCATTTCAGAAAGCATCACTATATACAAGGACTCGTCAGCTGTGCTAGAACCGAGAAAGGCCTCAAGAAGATTGATGAACAACACCCATATTATGAATTGAAATATCTCAGGAACCAAACTTTCATGGACATTGCAAGCAAACCTGAAATGTTTTTGAAGATGTTGAAAGCCGAGGAAGAAGGATTACTAGAGGTTCGAGTATCTCTCCAAAATGAACGCGATTTCAGAAAACAACTCTTTGCAGAGTTCAGGTCCGACAACTACAGCGAGGTTGCTGATGCGTGGAACGATGAAAGACAGAAAGTTCTCGACATAGCATTTTCGAAGCTTGAAAGGACTATCACGAAAGGAGTAAAAGAAAGCATGCGAACAGAGTGCCAAGATTCTATCCTTAAAATCTGTCGTGAAGAATACTCGAGAAAGCTTGACCAGGCGCCATACAAGCCGAGAGGCATGGTTTTGGGTACTATTCCTCGAGTGCTTGCTCTATCTAACGGTAATGGTGACCCCAATCGCGATGCTGTATGCTGGGCCTACGTTGAAGAGGACGGTCGGGTCCTGGACCATGGAAAGTTCGACAATCTTTCCAGAGACCAGAGAGCTAGAGAAGCATTTGTCGATTTGGTGCGCAGGAAGAAACCTGATGTTCTTGGAGTCAGTGGTTTCTCTGTCGAAACTCATAAGCTTGTATCGAGTCTCAAAGAATTGGTGCAGGAACACTCTCTGCGAGGGAATGAGTTTGACAATGAAGAGGGTGATGGTGAGCGAAGTGAGCCTCTAGATATTATCGTCGTGAATGACGAAGTTGCTCGACTTTACAAAGACAGCCCAAGAGCTGCTGTTGATCACCCTGCATTTGCTCCACTCGCTAGATATTGTGTTGGCTTGGCCAAATATCTCCAAAACCCAATGAAAGAGTACGCAGCTCTTGGAAAAGACATTATTTCATTATCATTCCACCCATCTCAACAATTGCTGCCAGAGGATAAGCTTCGAAGACAATTGGAGACTGCAATGGTTGATATGGTCAATCTTTGTGGTGTCAATATCAACGAAGCGGTCAATGACGCTTATACAGCAAACCTTTTACCTTTTATTTGTGGTCTTGGTCCTCGAAAGGCTACCGCTGTCCTGAAATCTATCAATGCCAATGGTGGAGTGGTGAACACTCGTGAAGAACTTGTGGGTGATCCAGACAATAACAAATTGCCAGTTGTTGGTCCAAGAGTTTGGAACAACTGTGCTAGTTTCCTATACATGGAGTACGAAAGCGCAAATCCTGCGTCTGACTATCTTGACAATACCCGTGTGCATCCAGAGGACTACGAACTCGGTAGGAAGATGGCAGCTGATGCACTCGAACTTGATGAAGAAGATGTCAAGGCAGAAGTAGACGAGGGAGGACCAGGAGCCATTGTCCGGAAGCTCATCAAGGATGATGAGCAGGAGAAGGTGAACGATCTGATTCTTGAAGAGTATGCCGATCAATTGGAGAAAAATTACAATCAACGCAAACGTGCAACGCTCGAGACTATTCGCGCTGAGTTGTTAGCGCCATACGAAGAATTGCGTCGTAACTTTGGCATGTTGTCTGATGACGAAATCTTTACCATGTTGACTGGAGAAACTCATGAGTCGTTATGCGAAGGCATGATTGTATCTGTCAACATCAGAGTGGCAAAGGATGATTTCATTATTGCTAAGCTGGATTCTGGAATTGAAGGCCGTGTCGAGAAAGACGATGGCTCAGATAATTCCAACGCCTCTTTGAACCGTCTATTTTCCGTGGGCCAAACTGCTCAGGCTAAGTTGCTTGACGTTGATCGAAGAAATTTTGCTGCCAGATTATCACTACGCGAATCACAAATGCGACCATACAGGAAACGTATTGACCGCGATATTGGTACCTGGGATATACATCAAGAGCAAAAAGATAGAGAGGAGCTCCGCGAAAAAGACAAGGCCACAGGCCGCGTTCAAAGAGTTGTCAAGCATCCTCTCTTCAGACCATTCAATGCCACTCAAGCTGAGGAATATCTCGGATCACAAGCCCCTGGAGATGCTGTTATTCGCCCTTCGTCAAAGGGAAATGATCATCTGGCAGTTACATGGAAAGTCGCTGATGGCGTATATCAGCATCTTGATGTATTGGAGTTACAAAAGGAGAATGAATTCTCACTTGGTCGACAATTGAGAATCAACAACAAATACAACTACAGTGATCTTGATGAATTGATCGTGGATCATGTTAAGGCTATGTCCAAGAAGGTTGAAGAGATGATGCTGCATGAAAAATTCCAAAAGGGCAGCAGAACCGACACGGGTAAGATTACTTCTTTCGACTCTGATAATGATACGTGTACTGACTTCATTTTTAGAACGTTGGTTGACAACCTACACGGAGGCCAATCCCAAGCGATCTGTATATGCTTTCTGTCTTGATACAAGGCATCCTGGGTATTTCCATCTGTGCTTCAAAGCTGGTCAACAAGCGCGCGTTAACTCATGGGCCGTACGGATCATTCCCAATGCTTTTGAATTATTAAAGAGTCAATACCCCGATATGAAGGCATTGTGTAATGGATTCAAACTGCGCCACACAGCGGAAATGAATCGAAGATGATGAGGGGTGGGATTTTTCTTGAGGTTGGTGAGCTGAAGGGGGCTGAGGGATAAATCTGATAGACGAGCTACGATGCATCTTTCTACAACATGTAACAAAAGTTCTCGGGTTTCATAACTATAGCATTCAAAGGGGTTAAAATGGACAGGAGCACTTTCTATTGGCCTAGAAGTTAGGCAAAATTCAAGCCAAGTTTATAAGAAGTAATTAATTTATACCTACCCCATACCTATTTACAAACATAGTACTTCTAGGAAAAAATAGAACAGAATTAGTCGTTGGGTGAATTCCTTGATCCTGCTAATTCTATAACCTTTCTCTCTTGCAATTAATGATTTCTTATGCACTACCAGTCCCAATCCATGGTCTTGAAGTAGTTTCACCAATTCAATAATAAGCTCGGCGATTATTTACTTAGGATTTGTTGGTATTTTACATGTACCGGTACTGCACGATGTAATCTTATTACTAGGGATACATAATTTTGTGCTAAAGACGTGTCAAACAACAAGGCTGAGATTACCTAGCTAGAATGTCATCCATCTTGACAATCGATCGGTTGTCGTATTTGATACGTATTTGATAGAGCTTTATTAGCCTCTAGCTCGGCTTTGGAGATGGGATGGGGTGTAACCCTGTCTTAGTTTACTCTGCATGATGGCCGGATGATTTACGTAGCCTTTTAGAGAATTGTACTCTAGATGGGTATTTGGCTACTTTGATGTAGATTGTTTCCCTGTCTTACCTATACAACCTTACCTTGAGATATATTGATTGCCAAGGTTGTTTTGCTATTTCTTATTCTTGATTTTCGTAAACCATAAATCATAAATCAATCATAATTAATTCCCTTTCACTCAATGCTTCTACAAACATCCGCCGAACAATCAATTCATAAAAGTGCATTGACCGGTGAGCCGCTGACAGCAAAAGCCTAGCTTTAAAGCCAGCCTTCAAGACCAGGTCGAATGCTATTCCAGGGATTACCTACGTAAGAAAGTTATCAAACAAGTAATAAACATCAGCAAGTATCTCCGCAAGCAAAGCATCCGCGAGCATAGCACAGTAAAACCCAATATACGAACGAACAAATGGGATGAACTTTCGTATCGAATACGTGGAATTATCAAAGACGAAACTCTCATTGATTACCTATTAAGGATATCATCTATGAAGGGAGATCCAAACCTGGCTCTCAATTTCAACGCTTCTCCACTTCAAGTTAACATTCTTTATCTGCATTGATTTCCTGGAGTACTTGACCTTCCTAGATATTCCTGTTCCTGCCACGACTAACTCTCAATCAACTTGAACAACTTCCCCATTTCTCGGAATATTCGGATGAGCCATCAAACGGAAGAAAGGCAATAGAGTAGAGCGCAATGGCTGGCATGGAGCAATTAGAAATTCATAGCAAGGTATGTGTAATACATGACGTGGATAGTGCTATTGTCTAATAGGTTTATGCAGTCGTATATTGTTCGATGGGTCAAGGTTGAGGAGAAACATACAATCTCGTGGAGCGTTCAACCGCACAAAAAGTCCATGTGGGATAGCTCTATTTTCTAATTTTAGATTATATTATTGACTGTAACAGAAACTTTGGAATTGTCAAACATCCAGGAGCAGGATCATCAACAAGTGTAGCCTCTACCCCGCGACAACCCAATTTCGACGATGCCGTTCATTCCCTTCATCCAGATTCTAGTTCGCAGAGAAGACTATCCGCTACCACTGATTCGAGAAACGATTCTTCCACCGCACAAGAGCAGTTAAAAGCAAAAGGCTTCATATTAGTTGAATGGTGTGGAAAATGCGAAGCAGACAAGGTATCCATGGGCACATTCGCGGTGCCGGTGGGTCATGGAGGAATGTACGGATTGGTCTTCGACAACACATTCTCGAAACAAATATCGAAGACTGCCACTTTCGTTCTTCTGACATATCCATCTAATTCCCCTCCCCATTCGAGCAATCTACAAAAGCTACAGGGTCTGGATGGTTCGCATGTACAGAACAGCAGAAAGCCAAGTCCAAATCTCTCAGCCGCAGCTTCGGAGTCTGTTGAAAGTCTACAGAGTACGGCAATGGGCAGAGGCGCTAGTAGAGGTTCTATGATCAGCAGGAATGATAGCGAAGGTGGCTTTTCAAGCTACCATGTAGGTGTTTTACAAAAGAGAAGAAGAAAGAAGGGACAAGGCTATGCTCGCAGATTCTTCTCTCTGGATTTCGCAACTTGTACTCTATCCTATTACTATAGTCGCAATTCATCGGCACTTCGAGGAGCAATTCCATTAAGTTTAGCTGCGATTGCAGCAGATGAGAGGAGGAGAGAAATCAACATCGATTCTGGTGCTGAAATCTGGCATTTGAAAGCAAACAACGCCAAGGATTTCGAGGAATGGACCAAAGCTTTGGAGAAGGCTAGCAATAATGCTAGAGGCCCTATCGGAGGTGTTGAATTAGAATCAATTCCAACACCGAATGTGGGATTGCAAATCAGAACCAGCTATCTACAGGTCCCGTCAAACAAAGAAGAGGAAAATGAATGGGTTCAGATTGAAGGTCTTGTGAGTAGAATTGTAGGGACTAGGGATGCCGTTCGTAGATTATCGAAGGATACCGCCACACCAAATAGGCGACACTCACATCTTCTTGGGGCACCTTCGGGAAGTCCTTTGGTGGAAGAAAGTGCTGACTATTTTGCTCCTCAAACCAACCAAACCAGTCAAACGAATGAAAAGAGACCCTTTTGGAAACGGAAGCCGAGTACACCCGCACCTGGTACACCGACATCGATGCAACGCGGTGTAGCCGCACAACTTGCAGTTCCAGTACCCACGGCAGCTTCTGCTGTTACTGAGATCGATGTAAATGGCCCAACCCCTCGAAAATCACGTACTTCACATGAAGAACAGAATATTCATGACCATTGCACATCTTTACTCAAGGATCTAGACGCAGTTCTCTCGGATTTTCAAACTTTGATAGCTAGCAGTAAACGTCGCCGTGCATCAAATGCTGCACCTATGTCTGCTAGGTCTACGCACAGTATAGAATCAGCTTCCACAGGAGAATTTTATGACGCAGAGGCTGGAGATCCGGACCATTCACAGGTTATGATCATCAATCGTAAGAGTGGGGAAGAAGAAACTATAAATTCAGAAACAGAAGAGGAGAAGGATGACTGTGGTGCTTCTACGTCTTCTAGTGGAGGAAGCGAAGAAGTCGAACACGTGAATGGTGCAGCAGCACTATTCCCAATCAAGCCCAAAAATCTAGATCCTTTACCAATCAAGGCAGCACCAAAACGCCGAAAAGCCATTCCACCTGCAACAGTCATGCCTCCCAGTTTGATCGGATTTCTTAGAAAGAACGTGGGTAAAGATTTGAGTACTATCAGTATGCCAGTCTCAGCCAATGAGCCTCTTTCGTTATTACAACGCGTGGCAGAACAGCTTGAATATTGCAACCTCTTGAACACAGCCGCAGATCAAAAGGATCCGATAAAAAGACTGTTACATGTAGCAGCATTTGCAGTATCACAGTTTAGTAATAGTCGAGCTAGAGAGCGTGCTATTCGTAAACCTTTTAATCCTATGCTAGGAGAAACTTTCGAGCTTGTGAGAAGCGATCAAGAAGTTCCGGGGGGGTTTAGACTGTTGGTGGAAAAAGTCTCACATCGACCGGTTCGGATGGCTTGTCAAGCCGATTCGGCTAAATGGTCGTTGGGACAGTCACCAGCTCCAACCCAAAAGTTCTGGGGAAAATCGGCGGAACTTATTACAGACGGTCGTGTGAGAATGGTTCTGCGACTTCCGGATGGTATTGAAGAAAGGTATACTTGGAATGTGGCAACTGTGTTTTTGAGAAATGTAGTGATGGGGGAAAAATACGTGGAACCGGTCGGAAATATGACGATAACGAACGAAAGCACAGGAGCAAAAGCTATGGTAGAATTCAAACAAAAGGGTATGTTTGGAGGCAGAAGCGAAGATGTGGGCGTGGAAGCATATGATGGGGAAGGAAAACATACGGGAATTAGTCTCCAGGGAAACTGGACCAGTTCGCTCAAACTCGTCGAAGCGGGACGTTCCGGGACGGAGATCTGGAAAGTAGGAGAGCTAGTGGATAATGCGGCGAGCTGTTATGGGTTGACGACGTTTGCAGCGCAACTTAATGAAATTACTGAGATTGAGATGGGGAAGTTGGCGCAGACGGATAGTAGGTTGAGGCCGGATCAGAGGGCTGCGGAGGGCGGGAGATTGGATGAGGCGGAGGATGTCAAGGCGAAGTTGGAGGAGGCGCAGCGTAGGAGGAGGAGGAGTATGGAGGAGAGGGGGGAACAGTGGAAGGCGAAGTGGTTTGTGAAGGTTGAGGGGGGGGTGGAGGAAGAAGGGGAAGAGGTGTGGGGGCTAAAAGGAGGGAAGGATGGGTATTGGGAGGAAAGGGAAAGGATTGCACGAGGGGAGGGTGGATGGAAGGGAGAGAATGTTTTTGAGGTTTAGACGGGATATAGATTCAATTCGTTCGAGAATAAGAAAGAGTAAGAAATCAATCTAGGTACAATATCATAAAATAAAACCATGTTTAATATATGAAATCTTTACGAAGATAGGATATTATCTTACTATTATATTTTCTTAATGATTCGTTCACAATAGATTGATTGATTGTATATCTCCCATAGCTAGGTACCTAGGTAGATTGAATATAGACATTTCAACCTGGATATTGGTGTATTGTGATAAATACGGATACAGATACAGATATGGATATGGATATGGATATTTATCTTAATTCAGACCTTTTTCTAAAAGATGCTCTTAATTTTCTCATCCACAGTCCACACGATAATAATATAATGTATGCATGTATGCTAATGAATAAGTCTTTCTACGTCTGTCTGTCCATCTAAAACGAGCTAGAAACCTAGAAATCCACTTTCATTCCTACATCCTATGCTATCCTTCCTTTTTCCTTCTTCCTTCTTCCTTCTCCATCTCATCGTCCAAAAATTGCCGACTCAGCGGGAAAAGAAAAAGGGGGTATATCAAATACCACAATGCATTGACGACCTAGAACCGCTCGCTCTCCGGGAAATAAAAACCCCCAAACTTTTTCCCTCCCTTCCTTCGTGACCTTACCTAACCTGATGTCCGTAAACTCCTTATTGCCGGTATCGTTCATGATAAGATACCTTTCAAACCCATGCGTGCACACGCAGAAAGACCGCCCGAAGAAGATTGGACCCGATGGGAACCGGAGAAAGAAATAAATGCTGTAAATCGTTGTTGCGTGAATAGAATGAGAGAATGAAGAGTCGGCCTCCTCCCTGAATCGACCTTGCAATTTAATCAATCTAGTTTTTAGTGATTAATACACTGTTGCTTTGGTTAGTATGCTGTAAAAAGTCAAAGAGTGAAGTGATGAATACTCACGGTAGACTCTGCAAGACAACCTCATTATGCTGATAATGGGTCATGAAACCACCCCCTAGAACTCTTCTCAAAGATTGTAGTCTATGTAGTTTCCACCACTTATCAATTTTCATGACTCCACTCTTGTGAATGCGAACAAACATTCGAGATCCTAGTAAGTGGCCATTCTTATCGATAACATTTGAGTATCTAGGTCCTCGAACTGGGTATTTGACTGTCGCTAAAACATCTCCAAAGGTAGCGTGTAATGTTTTTCGGTCTTTCTTGGATATAGATTTTGATGAGGCTTTTGCTAACTCTTCAAGTGTATGTTCGAGTTGATGCCTTTGACGCCATGGCTCGTAGCGTTTTACTTGACTGACATCGAGAGGGAAACCATGCTCGTCTACCTTCTCGCTAGCCTCAGGATCATCCGATTCTCGTGGTGTGTAACTTTTTTCGTAGATTATGGCGATATTCTCTCCAGCGGCAATTTGAACTGATGTTGAGGAACTTTCTAATTGGTCGACAAATGCTTCCATCGCTGCCTCGGACTTCTCTTCCAAATCATCCACAAAGGTAGCTAAACTACCCCATTCTTCGCATGCTGCTGTCACAACTTCCGGACTGTCGGGGGCGTCTACTGAATTACCATCAGATTCGACTATTTCCAGGAATTCATCCATAATATCATTGATTTCTGTCTCGGATGCGCCACCGTAGGTTGCTAATGCGGCGATTGCTCGTATAGCTGCTGCTTTGACAGTAACATGCTCTGATCTTTGGTAGGCTTGCTTGAGAGATCGAAATATATCTTCGTAAACATCGTCGGAAGGGCAAGTAATAATTGTAAGGCCAATAGCTGTGCTAAGATTAGAAAAAGATACCCATAAATTATATGGTGATGATAGCGCATACCTCTCAGTGCCAAACAAGCTTCCTTCTCTCCCGTGTCGGCTTTGATACTTTTGCACAAAGCAGGATATAATTCTGCGACTTTCCTTTCGATTTCGTCGTAACAATATCTAAGCATGAGATAATGATTATATGCCATTAAAGCACGTTCACGACCCTCCTCGCTGCTTCTTTTCCGATCCACGATTTCTCCAATGCGATCACTTAATTCTTGATCCCAGACATCGGATGTTTCTTGCGGTTCTGGCGCATCGAGCATGTCATCAACGGAATTAACACTGGGAGAATGTGTGAGTATAAAGAATAGGTCATATTCTGAGAGAGAGAGGGTGCATCTACCTCCATGTTGTACTATCATCATCGCTCATGTTTCCATCTTCCTCATCCGAGCCGTGGCGACTGACATTGTGCGAGTTCGTTTTTGAATTTACGGTTGATACTGGTTTCGAACCGACACGCGATGCAGCTTTTTTGGATACCGTCTTATGACTCTCCAGAACTCTTCTTCTTAAATCTCTCGTCATTTTGAACGAGGGTTGTGTAGTGTAGTGTAGTGTAGTGTAGTGTAGTGTAGTGTAGTGTAGTGTAGTGTAGTGTAGTGTTTGTGTATGTGGCGGTGGTGAAGTTGGCAATGTGAATTTGTTGGTGATTCTGCAATTCTTCCGAGAGTACCTTATACTTGCTTGACTCGGCTTAGACAATGAGAATGTTGTGAGGACTTGAGATAGATATTTGTAGATATTTGTAGATATTTGTAGATATTTGTAGATATTTGTAGATATTTGTAGATATTTGTAAGGTTATTCTTTTGATAGGCTTGCACAGATTGATTTAAATAGAAACAATTTTTTTCAGAAATGTCTCTCATTCATGTAGGATCTTTTTATGAGTCATAAAGTAAGAAAATGATAAATTGTGAATCAAGAAATAATTTGAATGTAGGCATTTTATTTTTTCTGGCCTATGATGAAATACATCATGTGAATAGTATATATATATATATATATATATATATATATAGCTAACTCATACGGTGGTACCTACCTAGGCAGAACGTACTAGGTACCCAGGTACGTAGAAGTGCATCTAGTGAATCAGGATTATCGAATTATTCAAGCATGTGCGTCTTTTAATGGGGGAAATGTCTGCTCCTTGTCGCCCCTAGTACCTACTAGGTAGTCAGATAAGAACGATTGGTGACGGAATTATTATGTACGAAGGAGCGATAGTGAACCTGGAAAAAAGGTTGATATGGATAAGATGATGGCGAGGAGGACTTGGGAGTGTTTAAGTATAGGTAGGTCGGAACTAGACAGGTATCAAGCAGAGCCGGACACATGGAGGAATCAAATCGGATTAGATGAACAATACCTCGTAGGCCGATCGTATACGTAGCATTAAAAATAAGAGTAATTAGAGGGCGATGCAAACCAAAATAGGTACATTACTAGGTAGGCAGGCAGATGTTAGGGCAGGAATGAAAGGTAAATCACAGTAATAAGCTATAACTTTTGTTCCCTCATTTTCGCCTCAATATCAAGGCTTCCATCGCCCTCACGTGCCTCTTTCTCCTCAAACCTGGGGTCAATCAACCAATCCACCCATCCACCATCGATCAATCTATGATGATGCCTTATCGATAACACTAAAACCACTAAAATTCCTTAAATTCCTCATCCCCCATAATTTACCATAGCTTATAGATCCATTCGGTACTACCAATCCACAGTGGCCTGCCTACCTAACCTTGTACCTGATAAGTACTCAAGTACCTAGTACGTACCTAGTACTGCTTCTTCTGCTTTTGACTCTAACCGCACCCGTATCAATCAACCCCTCCTCTCCACTCTTCTACGTCTCCCTCACACTCTCTCTCACTCTCTCTCACTCTCTCTCACACTCTATCCAACTTCAACATCATCTTATTAATCTTATTAAAAGACACTCGACTTTATTTAAAGAAAGAAAGAAACCACACACAACAAACTCGGTCGTCAAATGCCACTTTTCTTTTGACTTCCGACCGTCAATGCAATCCAGACACATATTGAAACATTTGGCTGGCCGTTTGCACTACACTACGTCCATTTCAATCTCACCTTCCGAAGGATCCACCGCCAACGAATACAGATAGCCTTGTCGTTGCGTTTCACCATCCTCAACCTGAATAACTTCGTACAATCAATTTCACATTTAATTCCACAAATCCCATACACTCGATCACTTTCTTAATAGCTCGTACAGACTTCTCGAAGTCTTGACAGCTCAAAATCCACAGGATGTCTCATCAAGGTATGTAACAGTATGGATTTCATCTTGCCTATCCACTTTTGATCGTTCATCTATTCTTAAGGCTACAGCTATGGGTCATATCACTTCTTCCTCAGCCCCTTGAACATCTGCCGAGTTTTATACTCAGAGAACTCTCAATATCTTTTTATGCAGATTCCGTTTCACGATTTGTTCCTTTCGTGAACATTCACACTAAACTTTCCACAGTGAACATTCACATCCGCCACAAACCAGTCGAATCGGATGAGGACGTCCTATCTTGCGGCGAGAGATTAATCAATCTCGACCCAACACGAACAGTGTTGCAAATAGGCAGAGCTTCAAAGAGTCCTAGCAAAGGTCTCTTGGGTGCTATTGATAATGCGTGGTTCGATAGCCCGGTAATGTCTCGAAACCATGCCGAAATTATCTACAACCCTTTGGACAATGTAAGAATACTTCATGCTTGTTGTTGGGTTGGCTTGTATTGACTTCTTCCAGGTGGTCCGAATTCGAGACTTAGGTTCAATGCATGGTACTTTTTTGAACGAAGAAAAGTTGGGAGAAGAAGCCAAACCTCTTAACTCAAATGATCAAATTGTCTTTGGTATTGGTGTGAGACGTGGTATGGATCTATTCCAACCGTGTCATTTTGAGGTCAACTATGAGGTAATTCCATGGAAGTGAGTATCACGTATACCGTTTTCTTATACCACACACTAACCCTTCTGTCACAGGAGACCCAATAGCTACACTGTACCCGACTCCTCCGACGATGAGGACGATGAAGACGAAGGTTACCATTTCAATGATACAGAAATGTCTGAAGAACCTTCCAGTCCGGGTGACACATCTATCGAAATGACTCGCTCTAGCCCCACGACATCTAAGACTGTTGATGCTATCGACCTGACTATGAACGATACTCCAAGCCCTAGACTGAAGCCGACAAAGCCTTCTTGCATTTCGACTGACGAAGGAGTTGAGGAAGACGAGTACACTCCCAAGTCACCAGTCTTAGACAGCATCTCGAAAGATTCTCGCGATGGTGCAGGATCAAAGACGAATACACAACAAGAAGCTGACCATCCTCGAAAGATCTCTCGCACATACACTTTCGATTACGATAGCGATGACGTCGAAGATGAAGATATGCTTTCGACACAATCTGATTCTGATGAGTCTGATATAGAAACCCCATCTGAATTGCAATGCTTTAGGGATTTTGAAGATTTGCCTTCTCATGATGACGTTGATGGTGAAGATGATAGCGAAGATGAATCGATGTCTGATGCATCTGAGGAATCAGAGGTTCAAGTTTTGCTGACTGAAAGTCGTGAGGCACTCAATGAAATTCCATCTTCATATCCTTCAGTGGGCTCGGGTTCATCGCGTGCATCCTCTCCTGGTCCTCAGGCTACCCTCGTTCAGACACTTTCACAGACCACCAACTCTCGAACTCCATTTGACAATAACGTGGATATTCCTGAATCTCATGTTAGAACTCAGATTCATACTTCTGAAGAGGTTATCGCCCTGGATCAACAGAACAACGATGATGACGATGAAGTCGATGATGACGATGATCGAAGTGTTGGACTTTCCGAAGCTGCTAATGAAGGTCTACAAACTTTATACAAAGACGGTTTACTCAAGAAGGAACCAGGCACCAATCCCACCGGTCTCATCGGTAGCGTTGGATCTTACGATGAATTCTCCAAGTCCAATCTCGAGAGCTACTATGCTACGTGTACTCCTACCTATGATGCTTCGCCTTTCAGCTACTACAATCCTCAAATCAACCGCGCCTCGATTTCTGCTCATCAATGCGGAAATTCTCATAACGACTATTACTCTCTCACGAAACTAAGATCCCCATTTTCTTCTTTTTACGGCCGAGAAACTAGTCCTTCATCAGTAGCAATGGCTAGACCACCTTACCAGGAAAGTTACGCCGATCAAACTCCCGAAACCTTATCTGCCAGAAGTTTGGGTGATAAAACTGGCAAGCACGCTTTCTTTGAAGCCAGAGAAGAAAATAAAGTACAATTCCAAGCTCATGTTGATGATGAAGAGACTCAAGTAACCCAATTCTCACCATTATCAATGACAACAAGACCAAGCCGAGCTAGCAAATTCACCAAGCCTTTGGCTAAGTTCGTACAACCTATACTACCCATCAAATATCACGGCAATGGTATCGATCATGGTTTCGTAATTAACGATCGCCCGGTTTCTAATATTGAATCATCCAAGGACAGACCTTCGATTCATCCATATTATTTCAGTTCAGACGCCTCATCAAGAGCTGTGGAGAGTCCAGTCTTAGAAAGACATCCTACCAGATCGGGCTTAAGTATTGACGACATCATTGATAGCTCTTCAGTGAGCAAAAAGAGAAAGGCCGATGAGATTTCCCATGATGAATTAATCAAAAATGAGGTTCGAGATTGGGTTTCTGGTGTCAACGACTCTACAAAGCCCCAAGCTGCTATGGTTACACAAGAAGAAGTTACTGGCCCTGAATCTTCAGCGCCTACAACTCATACCATCCATCACGCCCAGAAGGTTCAATCAGATGTGCAACTACCCACAGCTAGTGCTGCGACCCAACAAAACAAGCTTGCAGTCTTAGCCACTACAACGACTGAAACTGAACATCGACCAGTTAAGAGACTCAAGATGAGAAAATTTGTCGAGGCTGTAGGATACTTTGCACTCGGAGGAGCTGCTGTTGGTGCTGGTTTATTTTCAGCACTTGTAGCAACAGCTCCAGATTTCGTTTAAGCTCGGTAAGGACTAACAATCCGAGCCGAATTACAATAATTGCTACTCTTACAATATGACGGCAATTTATCGAGAACTTGAAACGAGTGGATAACGGGAATAGGAATAGGTATTGGGGAAATAGCGAAAGGGGAGATATTATACCATGGTATTGATGGAAAGAAGCACTGGGTGCATTTCTTATTCTACCGAAATTATGATTTGTTAATGTGTCGAAATATTGACAAAAGACATATGCCGCGTTTTGAACATTGCGTGGCTGGCGTTTGAGGGACTGACGTACTGGCTGTCAATTTGTTTATGAGGGTAGTGGAATGGATGGATTGGGTTGCGATGGATAAACGATTTCTTTGGTTGATTGTGGAATGGATAGGGGTTTTTCATATCACAACATACAATAGGTACTAAGGCCTTTCTTCCCATTTGTTTTTTTTTTGTTTATTAGCTTTGGTTTTTTGCAAGGGTGCGAATGATTAGGTGTAGTTGGGAGTTAGTTGGAGCAACTATTAACTGGGTAGTCCTGAAACATAAATATGCTGAGATAATAAAACATGAATAGAAAATACAAAAAAATTAGAAAACTTGTATTTGAACATGAAATGTGATTGTGCTGTATGGTCTTCGGTTGAATGTTTGGATGGGTATATAATGAAGAATGTCTTGAAAGTTTTTATAATTCATAAGATAGACATTGGATTTGATATCGAGAAGACCTCTGCCAATTCGAGACTGTGAAATCAAATTGAATGAATGATGTTGAGGTAAGTATTTGGATGTGTGGTGGTTAGAAGTCAAAAGTCGGTTGGATAGTATTATGTAGGTATGTAATGTTAAATTATCCCGTATATTATATCATGCTATTTCTTTCTTATCCAATGATTACCAACTATGAGGAATTGAAAATTAGATGAAGGAAACGAGGTGAAGAGAATGAGATGAAGAGATAACTTCCTGGGGCTCATTGGGGAATGGGGTGAGGGGGGTATTTGAGGGTGTGTTGGTTGTGGGGTAAGGGGGAGAGGGAGAGGGAGAGGGAGAGGGGGCACGGTGAGTGGTGCTTATAGTGATGTTTTCGATGGTATTACTGATATTACTGGTGGAGTGGTGGAGTGATGGAGAGGGAATTAGGATCGGGATGAGTGGTGAGAGGTGAGAGGTGAGTAGGTAATGAATGGTAAGAATAAAAATGGAGATTAAGATGAGATAAAGAAAAATAAGGATGGGGATAGAGTGAAGATGAGGATGAGGATGAGGATGAGGATGAGGATGAGGATGAGGATGAGGATGAGGATGAGGATGAGGATGAGGATGAGGATGAGGATGAGAAGAGGAAAAGGATGAGGAAGGGGATGAGGGGGGTATATGGAAATGAAGGGGGTGCTGGGTGGAGTGGAGGGGAGGAGGAGTGAGGATGGAAAGAGGAGGGAGGAGTGGGTAGGAGTGGAGGAGTGTGGAATTATGTTTGTGTTTAGGAGAAATTGTGTATTTGTTTTTTGAGAGAAGAAAAGAGAAGAAAAGAGAAGAAAAGAGAAGAGGAAAAAGTTTGAGGGTATCGATGATTGGACAGAAGAATTTTAATTTTTGCGGGGGGGTTTGTTTGTAGTGTTTTATGGTGTTTTGTTTCGAGAGCTGTTGAATGATCTGGAGCTTGGAATTTGGAATTGGAGTTGGGTTGGGTTGAGGTTGCGAGATTAAATTAAATTAAATTGCAGAGTTCGGGGAAAACATGTAATGGAGAGGGAACTTGGAAGTAAGGGAGATAGATCAGTTTATCAACTCTATTGTAAGTATCGAATTTTCTGATTATTCCTGAATGAATGTGAGAATAAATAAATAAATGAATAATCATACAAAATATAAGATAATTCGGGAGTTAACTGGTTATCACATCATCTCGAATTCGAATTAATCTTGATCGGAGGAGAGATTGTTGTTGTTGTTGTTGTTGTTGTTGTTGTTGTTGTTGTTGTTGTTGTTGTTGTTGTTGTTGTTGTTGTTGTTGTTGTTGTTGTTGTTATTATTATTATTATTATTATTATTATTATTATTATTATTATTATTATGATTTTATATGTGGAAATAAAATTGATGAGTTGGATAGATAGAATGTTATGCGGAATGGGATCTGATGAAGATGGAGATGAAGATGAAGATGATCAGCGGCTCGCTCGCTCGCTTATGAAAGGGGTACTGGGGTGCTGGGGATGGAGTGGGTCTGTGAGGTTTGCTTTGATGATTTGGAATTTGTGAGTGAGGAATGGTAAGTGAGAGAGGAATGGAAATCTGAAAGATTGGATATGCTGTGCTTGTGGATGATGATGATAATAATATATGAAAATCAGGATGGATAAGGTTAGCGTAGATTATCTTTTCAAGGAATAAAAGAACTCATTTTTGTACAGGGCTATCTCAGAACCGGAAGAGAAGTGATATAACCAAGAATTGTGTATGTGGTTTTGTTGTTTAATTGATTGCCTATCTGTTTGATACCTTTTTCGAAGAGGTTTTTATTAGTATATATTTGTATCAATCATGTCAGTAAAGATTTAGTTTAAAGGCACGGAACATTATATCTCGTTTAAAGAGGGGTAGTCTGATGATATAGTTCGGTCAGAGAGTTATGTGCTTGGATCTATTAAGTTCTATAAATTTATCTTTATATGTATGTACGAAATTTGTTATCGCGTCTCACTCACGAAGTTAATGCTTTGACGGATCCGTTCTTGTTAGTTTTTAATCAGGGAGGGGGAATGTATATAGAGTTCTTTGTTTGGGGTTTTAGAAGAGTATCTGAACGTGTTTTTCGATGTTGTGCGATTAGTTATGTTATTCAGTATCCTTTCCATTCTCAGGTTTCAGCTAGAAAGTCGAAGGAGTGATGCGGGTGTAAAGCAGAGATTGTGCTGTGAAAGAAATAGAGGAGAGAGGAGAATGTTTACAAGATTATCAGAACAAACCCAAGGCTGAGCCGGTAAGTGATTGTGGTGCTATAAGAAAAGCATAAAGTATTTGAAATCTCTGAGTAGATAACGAGAGTTGCTAGTAACGATTAGACTACTATTTCCGCAATGGATCTATAGAATCACCAAATTCTGAGCCCGTGAAGGGAAATAATAAGTCAAAGACGTTGCCGGGAGGGGTGAAGATATTACCTTTGTTTTGTTGCGCTACTAGAAGCATAAAAAGAGCTTATCACCCGGAGAAAAGAGTCTAGAAAAAGTTGTGATATGGTACTTTACTATTCTTCAGTGTATTAAGTGACTAACGATATTTTAGAAGAAGTGTTGTGTTGAGAAGTAAGCTCCTACAGAATGTTCTGCCTATAGATTAGAAGGCTAAGATGGATGAAATGAAGTCGATGGAGGGATTCTGGTTATTTCTTGTTCGCTATTTTGTTGATGGATTAGGTCTTCATGGGATTGATACAGTCGTAGAATCAAGGTGAGGATCTATATGTTCTATTGGTAGGCATACTTTTGCATGCTCTAGCGATAATTTGATGAATAGGAAAAAATGGAGATTCCTATCATCGCCGCTCGTAGTCAGTGTAGGCAATAGTATTTCCTGTAATTCGTATACGCATCAGTTTAGTGGTGCATATCGATTTTTTTCGAAATACGTACTTACATAGTATGGAATTCAATATCATTTAGCTATTCATTATTATTAGCAATATACTGAAATACTAGAATCCAACATAAAATATTCATTCCTATTCAAATCAGGCTAGAAATAAGGGATTTCACATTAATTTGAAGTAAGGAATGGAATTTTATTATCTAATATGCACCTAATAAGGACAGGAATGAATATTCTATAATGAATTCCAGTATTTCAATATATTGCTAGTATTCTTTAGGCATATAAATATGTACGAGAGTGGTATCATCTCCTTTTCTAAACGTATTGGCGGTTATATTAATATGCTAATATACGCTATAATTTCATTACAGTATACTATTGCCCACACTGCTCGTAGTCAGAGACCTTGGATTTATCGTAAAATGTGGAGCTATCGGATTCCCTTGCTACAAGAGCATAAAGATATTATATTAGATGATAAAAGAGATGCGTAAACACTCGTCAAGTGTTATGATGTGATAGCAAACATTAGAAAAGGTCATGATATCGAAGAGATAGTGCAGACGAGCTTGATTCAGTATTCGGAAGTTATGATGAGAACGATTTGAAGGATGTTTTGAAAATTGAGACTTATCTGATTTTGATTTACACAAATTGAAAGCGCTGTAGGCGCAAGTGTAGATAGAGCGAAGCAATTCATGGTCACAAGAAGATATAAAAGCCATTGATGGGAAAATATAAAAATTTCCAAGTTTTCCATCATACACCTGTTAATCCCCAATCGTATGTTTCGTATCTACATTGCAACTTGTGCGTTTTCCAGTCTATTTACATGCATCTAATCCAGCCAACTATGATACAGGAAGTTTCCACGGCACCGCATCCAGCTTCATCTAGGTGGTTCTGGGAGGGTCTAACTCAGGGTTGTTCGTAGTGTCAATTTCCATGGTAATATATCCAATCATTCCCTTGGTGATATCTTCTCCATCAATTGGAACAATATCCATGACTGGATTGTATCCGTGTGCGAATCCACCAGTGTAGCAGTTGTCCTCAGCATTGGTGGTGCGGTTGATTTGAGTATGGCTCACATAAGGTTCTTGAGCCATGATTGTCTCGGTAACGGTGTCGTTGAAATAGAATTGACCGATGGAGTTTGAGTTTCCGGTTAAAACGGTACCATTAGAGTGAAGGACATAGTCGGTGAAAACCACATCGTGTTAGTGAATGAATACAGCTTTGAAATGAAAAGAAGGTGTTAAGTATGCGGGAAAGAGAAAAGTTTACCTTGAGCATGAATGTGAATAGTTCTCTGAACATAGAAACCAGGGAAGACAGTCTTCATCTCCAACATTCCCTCATCATTCGTAGGCTACATTCCTCTCAACCAAGTTGTATCATTTGTGTGAATATCCGTAACACCGATTTCGTAATCCGTAATATTCATCTCCCTAAGCAGAGTGGGGAATGGAATGTTGGCGTCTCGACCAGTGAAACTGGAATAACTACCAGTGCCATTGCAATGCCAAAAGGCAACGAGAGCATTTGGAAGGGGCTCACATGTCGCCATATCGATAACTCCCACATCGAGAATTAGAGGAATACCGGCTTGGCCTTCGGTCATATCTTGACGGAGAGTCTCGGATCGAGGCCAGTAGTAAGGGCCAGCAGTGACGTCGGCGGCCAAGACACAAGTATCATTCTTGAGGACATCATAGTAAGGCGCTTCGGTGGTGATGGTGTATGTTGCGTTTCCAGATCGCTTGGCGAGAGCTTCTGCGTTTCGTCGTTCATATCGACGTTTGTTGTAGTTTGCAGTTCCGGAAGCGCATCGCTTGGAGAGGTTTGCGGAACGTTTGAGCACTTCTGTTGAAGCTTCTTCGTGGGCAAGAAGTGGTGTGGCGAGAAGGCCGAGGACTGAGAGGTGTTGTAGCTTCATGTTGATGGATTTTCCTGGTTTCAAGCTGGAGAAGCAGATGTGCTGCAAACTGTGTCGATACTTCAATGTAGAAGTAGATGGTGCTCCCTTATATATGCTTTCCAACCCTCACTCATTACCTTTAGATACACATCATCGGTCAATGTGCCTACAATCTGAAAGCCCACATGTAAAGATGTACCGCATATTGTACCTGATTGCCGAACAAATCGCATCATTCGAAAGATCCACCCAGTGGGGTCCCTCCCATACGGCGGAGAGCCAACCGTTAAGGTTAATTAATTATCGGAATGTGGGCGGACAGTCACTACTGAATAAGCAGGAGGAATATGTACACGCGGCAGTGACATTGCCAAGTCTTGGCAATACAACCTCAATGATTACCGAATGTCTATTTCAAAACTGATCCTAGGGAATAGTAATCAGACTTCAAGGGTTGAAAACTACAGCACTATGATAAGATACGCAAGGTGGATGAATACACGGACTACAAATTTTTTTCTCCTTGCAGCTTTCATGTGATTGCTAAGTGAATGATTGGCCATCTAATCCAAAATGTTTAAAACCGGGCGAGCCTTTAAAAAAGAATGACAACTCTCTACCATAGCTGGCGTTGAAAGTCTGTTGTCTTTTGACCTCTGCTTAACAACGTAGATATCATGCCATAGTATATAGTTACTCAACCAATTAGAAATTCTGATTTACCAATCGCTGGAGCATCATTGAAAGAGGATTGATATCATGCTTAATTTCCATGTCAATTAGTGGAGACTTACTGACGGATAGATGATAAACTTTTCCCCGCCTCAGTCCCCAGAATAAAACATGGGGCCGACAATCTAGCGGCTCGTCAATTTGCTTGTGCACCCCTGAGTTATGGCCACCAAGTAGCCAATTGATTGCACGTAATAACATATCATCAGTACGTCACAATCAGGTCGGCTAACCCCTGTTTTTGGTCGCCGAAAATTCGGCAATGCTATACGTTAGCCCAATCTATTCTTCACGTTCCCGACTGATCCAAGAGCAATTAATATAACCTTTGAGATGTCAAATATTCTGGTCTCGGAGAGTTTGTATACTCCAAAAACTCCGACGCGACGATCTTTCTCTACGCAAGAACGCTTCGGGTTGAAGTATCGACTCCCGCGTATGAGAAACCAGGGGTGTTACTGTACTTGAGTAGATGCTTTCTATAGCTAGATAGACTCTTGAATACCACCAAATAATGGTTTGCTTGCTTGTCCACTTGAAGTTGCCGATGTGCTCACCTAAAAGGGTCGAAGTCCCACTTCCACGATAAATGCAGTACCAACATGCTTGTTAGCCAACAGACTTACAATGTGGCACTCAAAATAAGTTGAAATGATTCTTAATTTGACCAGCACTTGGGTTCATGGAGCCTCCCAAATTCCCTTTCAAGTGGAATCGTTATCAAAGTACCCCAAATAGATACGCCTGGACCTATGTTGTGGCTACTTATGGGCTCTTGAAAATGACTCGATCACACTGTTCATTTCGGAGGTTTCCCACAGCAAAACCTTAAGCCATCATGAAATATTCTCGTGTAGTTGGACTCAAGCATGTATCAGTATCATGCAACCACTTTTTGCTGTCCCGAAAGAAAAAAGTTGAAAGAAAGACAACAACAAGTGAGTAAACTATTGAGTGGGACATATATGCCAGCGATTTGGCTGCGAAGTTTTCACACGGAGTCATGTCGGAAGTTCTAGACCAAGGTATTTGCACTAGCACCACTATATCTATATCATTTCTGCTTCTGTACTCTCAACTTGATCAGATCAATACAACCTCCATAGTCAACACGCTTTTCACTAACATGCTTTTATGTTGTGAAGAAGCTCACTGCGTATAGTAACAACATCATGGATCGTAGTATTAGAGACAGACACTTCCAAACTCCTGACCGAAGATAAAGAGGCCCATAAAGCTCTCTCTCACGTGTACTAAGCCCCGTACCATCTTGTTTTTCAACCTCACGTCTTCGAATTCTCCCAACTCACTTTGAGTTGACAACAAAACGGAGAGGATATCACTAGGAATGATGAAAATTCAAGCATAAAATAAGCATAAATTATAGCAAAGTGCGATGAAGTATAAAGAAGCTTGACAGCCCACGTAAATATAGCTGCACAACCCTACTAATGCAAGCTCAACTTTGAGCTTAACACACATATTGCATCCCCTCTTCCGCCAGAACTTCGTTTCAAATCTATACCAGCATTTCTCCTTTCACCAAAGCCCAAAGTCATCAATCTTCAGTCCCATAATATTGGAAATAGCCGTTTACCAACCTCACATCCAATCTCAAGCGACCAAAAATATTGAAAACACACACATTTCAATCAACCATATCCTTCCCAAAACCAGTCATAATCTCAATAGAAACAACTAAAATAAATAAATCAATATCTCCTCAATCTAAAAATCAACTTTTCATTCCCAAAATATTAATCCATCAAATTTTTATCGGATTTTCAAAATGCCATGTTTCCAAAAATTTGATATTTTCTTAGCGAAAAAGTTGAATCAACTAACTATTTTTCAAACCATACTTTTTTTTAAAAAAAAACCCCCAAAAAGTTCAAAAAATTCCGTGGAAAACCCAGAAAAAAGGAAATCAACTATTTCAGATGTGCAACAAACGAGTTCGAACTGTCAAGATCACGAGGTTGTACAGTTTGTGGTTGGTTCATGGAAAGGGGGATTGTTTCTCCGAGAGCCGAATTTGTGCCATGAGGTTAAGGTAGGGCACTGAAAGAACTGGAAGGATTAAGGAGAGATGGGAGATTAGTTTAAAGAACTTTTATAAATGTAATTGTTACTCTAGAGGAGAGAGATAAGTGTGATTGTTTTTGATCCTTGAAAGGTATCTATTTTTGAGGTAATTTGGAACTGGTGCTGCTGGCCTGGGGAGATTGATAGATCTTTATTGGAAAAGACGTCAGGAATTTAAACTTTCTTCCCCTGGAGGAAGACAGGAGATTCATAATAGGTATGAAAATCGAGATATGTACATAGTCTTTGTAAGTCAAGACACCATCTAGGAAGTAAGATTACAAGTTACTTCCTCCATGCTAGATACAAGAACTAGTCATTCGTTATAATCAACTATAAACTATGATTAACTATAATCGACTATTCTCAAGTTACAATGATTTCATAGCAACATTAACATCAACATTAACATCAACACCAACATCAATACCAAAACTTAAGAGATCTATCTCTTGAAGTTTCTAGAAGTATTCAGACTGGAATCCATTCTTCCGAATCAGAAATTCAGAATAATCTCAGAAGCTAAAGAAGATAGACAGGGAGGAATCAGCACTACTGAATAAGATCACGAAGTGATACAAATCCAAACCCCTACAAATCTCAATCTCTCCATCAAAATCAAAATCTCAACCTAAAACATTGAAAGCGCCGAGTTCCAACTACGCAAATTCAAAGCGACAGGTATACGAAGAGGAGTATAGTGGACTATAAGCACCCAAAACCGCAATGATTTCCCCCTCCGAAGGAATACAAAACTCTTCCCAGAATTCAAGCCAAGCCGAATCCCCGTGCGAATACTACACACTACCTATTCGCACTTCTGATATTCAACTAAACTCATCAATATGCTATTTCCAATTTCCAATTTCCAAATCATCATCACATTCCGAAACTCCAATCTCTAGAGGATTATAGATATGTGTCTACAGCTAATTAAGCTGGTACCTCTATCGCCAAGGATCAAGATCTTCTTATTAGGCAAATTAGAAAGAGAGGATTGACTTATATCTCAATACTAGGTAACTAACCTCTTGGGTATTGCTATTCCGTACTCAACCCGAACATGAAAAAATTTAACACCCTCATTCCATCTCTCTAGAAAATTTATCTCTCACCCACAGCCTCACTACTACTACCACGCTCTCCCTCTCCCTCCTAATCACAATCTTTTCTCTTTCCTCCCCATTCTACGCACATTCTGCATTTATTCTCACAAGACTCGATCCAATCCAATCCAATTCATCACCCCACCACCGAGCTGAGCTGAGCTGAATCTAATCCAATGCAAATACTCCCCTGCTCAATACATGTATACTACATACATGCACATCACTTCACCGAATATCATCATCATCATCATCATCATCATCATTACCATCATCATCCTTCCCAATTTTCTCCTCACACTCACTTTCATCCTCCAAATATCTCCACCAAAATACAAAACCTTGCATTACATCACATCACAGCCGCATATATCAATAAAAACTCTCATTTACCCATCTAATTACCCATGACCACCATGTAATACACTAGCAGTCATCTACACTATACCACCTCCCAGCCCACAAGCCCACCCCCAGATTCCCAACTTTCCCAACTTTTCCAGTCATCAACACAATCTAGACTCATCTTCCTCCTTCCAAACCCCAAATTCAAGAAACGGTGTAGTGGGGTAGTGAGTGGGGTAATGAAAGAGCGAGACAGAAAGACAGAGAAGCGAAGAGAAAGTAAGCACATAATGCACACATATGGCTGCATATGATATGCACAACGGATGGCTACACATCTATATTGCCCATCTAATGCGATTGAAGAAAGCCTTTTCGCGGGATATAAAACTACAGTATCTATTCTGCAAGAAGGGGATTGGTCAATTTGTGAGTAAATGGGGTAGTGAGTGAGTTATGAACTAATACATATTGGGGGCTCTTTTGCTATCAAGGTGGTGTGATTTGATTCATGTGACATGGGTATGTGTAGTGATGATATTTGCAAGCGAAAAGGAAGCAATGAAAGGTGACAAGTCCATAATGTGACGTACATCATTATCCGACGTAAAGTTTCGGATGCCGGTTGTTTCGATTCGGTCAAATAGCTTGCCATCACCATCTGAAACCATCGTCACCACGCATGTAATATGCGAAGTACTGTAAGTATCCACGAGGGACCTTGCAAGAACCGAGACACTTGTATATGTATGCATGTGGATCCTTGAATTCATACTCAGTCAAGGAATTCATGGATTCAGCAAATATAACACCTCACGGCTATATGCGTATACGGTGAAGAGCCCGACTGAAAGGATCGCGATACCATGCAATCATTGTCCGTTTCAACTGACGCCGCTAAGCCTAGCTTATGCCCGAGTGGAGAAGTCAAATTAGACTTATCATATCTAATCATGAAGAAACAGTGATCTTGATCGGATGAAGAGCGAATCGGAAGGAAGGATGGGTAGAAAGAATGGACACTTGCATCGATTGCGATCTATCGTAGACCTCTTCTTTCCGGCTGCAAGGCTCGATTGGTACTTGAATAATTGGTTCCATGTCCTCGGGAAGGTGTACTTGGGTATGGTTATTCCGACTTAGGAAAGTTGATTGGGGGAACTAGCTAGGTAGTATTGCGGTTCGTATAGCGGATACGCACATATACGGGTTCTGCCCGACTCCGACGAACGAAATGGTGTTTTAATATGCAATCCAACCTTCAGCACTGAAGCTAATGGTATGATAGATCATATCTTATCAGTTTAGAGATTGTTCTGCAAAGAATTTGCAAATGCAGGGACTATACCGTGTGGGATCAGAAAAATGTGCATAGAAGCGGTGACGTGCGATTTATCACGTTTTCATCGATGACGCACACCAGTCAAATGCGCAGGAAGTCGTTAACCATGTAAGGATGTCTGTTGGTAGAGAGCATATGTGGATAGATCAATGCGAGAATTAGAAAGTAAAACGCAGTAATTGACACAGAATAGACTGATGTGGTACGAAGATGAATATTAGAGTGAAAGTTTATACTTCAACTTTGAGAAATTTGATCTACTGATTCGCTTGAAAGGGGAGAAAGTAAAAAGTATAATTGGGGAAAGAAAGCGAGCGCTTCGCCGTCTCAATTACTTCTTACACCTTGGTAACTTGCACAGAAACTTCGTGACTAGCGCTCTTACGGCCAATGTGAGAACAAGGCGCTTTCCTACTTCTCCAGAATTCATTATTGTCATCGTGCAACTTGGCGCAACCCCCACTAAACGAGACTCCCCTCATTACCGAACATCCTTGAAAACCATACATAATGATAACAATGATGATAATGGATTACAACCCCTACATACTTATGTAGATCATCCCATACATATGACATTTCGATTTGCGATTTGCAATCGGCGGGAGTGAAATCGAATGTATGGAACTATCAATTCCTCGTTTTCGAGGAGCGGGTGCACAGCGTCTCACACGCACGGCATAAGTCGTTGCATATCAGCGAATAGAAGAATGATCAGGTCAGCTACTTATGTTGTAATCCCGAGTTACGGCTAACTGCCTATTATGTGCATGAAGCCTCGAGGTCTCCAGGACGGTAGTGTATATGGTAAATTATAGGATTGGTTGAACTTACAGCATTCGCTCCAAAAACCATCATTAAATGTGTGAATGATTGTTTTGAGAACTGAAGGTCTAGTTTTGTGATGGGGTATTCAAAAAGTGTGGGAGGTAAGTCTTGGACTGGGGTACGAGGCGCCACTACAATGTTAAATGAAACCGGTGGTTTGGAGCCAATGCTCTGTGTATTAAAGACGAGGGGCCACAAATCGGTGGTATCTTATCCGTTAATTTAGTGTGCGCAAGATTCGTGCCATCGGTGAGCCATCCCAATCCTGCCACTTTACTACTAATGAGAGCGCATAATTGAGTTAATTAAAGGCTATTGAAAGATTGAAAGGTACCATGAAGCACCACGAGTTCAGATTGTTTCGGGTGACAAAAATTTGTGTTATCTCGTACAAAAGTCGGAGGTTTGCTCTTCCAGTACTTCATCTCTGTTTCGCAGCGGCCGTTTTTGTCCTATGCGCATGGCGCCCTCGAACTCCTGAGTTGCAAGCCAGATTCATCTGTAGAACGTCTCTACGCATAGAATCTTATGTTGTGTAAGGTCCACTCCGCTGGTAAATCAAAAATGACAGAAAGAAGCCAACCTATTATCGGCAATGATGGCATAATCAAAATAAGCCCCAAGTTTTCTATTGTGAAGTATCCAGCATATTACCGGCATAACCATTAGAAGAGATATCAGATCAGCAGATCATCTTTGAGCCCCTCGTAAATTGTTCTTGCTTCACGAGTAGCCAATGATGGCAGGAGAGACGGAGATAAAAGAGAAGAGGACAAGAAATTTTCTTGTTTCAATAATTCATGTAGGAGCGGTGAGGCCTGGTGAGGAAAGTGGTGCCTAATACCATGTGCATAGAGCTATCCGGGTGAATTCTCACGATATCTGACGATGTATGCTGTTCCTTTTCTTCTGCTAAAAAAAGAAGCTGACGGTGAGAAAGAAAATATATGGGGTGGAATTTGACTGACCTCGATAGAGTGTGGGGGTTCTATTATTGATGGGAGCTGATGGGAGATGCTAGAGAATATGAGATGTATAAGATGAATGAAGATCACTGCAACAAAGTGAGAAATTTGGAATCCGCACAACACTCCACTTTGTACTTCGAAGAAATTGTGCTTTACTTCTACGGCCATAAACAAGCTGAAAGACCTCTTTGAATTATTTGAAGCCTTCTAGCCTTGACGCCATTGAAGATATATTCATCTTCACATAACATTCCACCTTTACCACAGTTGCGCACCATTTAAACTTTGTATCGTCAATCCTATAATGTCGTACTCTAGCGAAGCCTATGACTGCTGTTTCAATGGCAATTTGTTAGAAACATGTCAGTATTGCGGTGGTTCTCCACGAGAGTATGTAATTATCTTCAAGTACCTCTATGCCAAGCTTCATTTTCAAACCAACCTATTTTTTTTCTTGCAAATTCATAAATTCTAACAAGATATCTTAGACCACCCTGTCCTACCTGCAGAGGCACCGGAATATCTCACAGACCTTGCCCCTATCACTCCAGTTCTGCAAGCTACTATTCCAATAATCTGCAGACTGTACCGGCTCATAGAAATCGGGAAGTGAGGCGCTCTTCTGGAAGGAGCAAGAATACCCATAGTGGCAGAACTGTCAGATAACTGGGCTCCTGATGTACTACGAGTCAGAAACAGGGGACGAATTTTATCCTTATTGGGTTTTGGCGTTGATTTTTTTCTGATGACTTTGGTATCAAATGAATTAGCAATTCACCCTTTGGCTAGACCCCAACGCGGAGAATGGAGTACCCTGTCCTAAAAATTAGCTTTAATCAGGTTAGGACTAAGCAAAGATCCGGAACTGTGAAGCAGGGAGCCCAAATTTCACGGCTATAGCATGGAGAGTAGGACCCGGTCCCATATGACAATTCGAAAGTTATTCACAACGGTAGACACGGAAAGACAGGCGGAAGAAGGCCCGAGGTTGGGTACCATTGAGACCGATCGATGGAAGAAATGGAGTTGGTAGTGCGGATCTTTTCTGAGGCTTCGGAACGATGGATATTCATGGTCAATCTATCGGGATGCAAATAATTGGTCGAATGTACAAGGGCAGTTTTGTGACTCGGGTCATTTTGTGATTCGGAATGCTGAACAATAACATTATGGGAGTCGATGGTCCGAAACCTTTCTCAGTTGCGAGTACCACACTTTGAGAAGCCAATTAGAAGAGTATTTCGGTAGATCATACCATCGAAGGAGGATGACAGTCCTTTTGCTAGTGTCAAGGAGCCTTTTTCATATTCTTTCCTTGTGGTTTACAGCAAGATTCGGTGCTACCTTGAGATGAAGACTCAAACGCACAAACTCTAGTGTTTCGATCGAGCTTGGTTCGTCAACCTATACCAGTCTTCAGATTTCACACGTGGGATGTTGTTGTATCTCTGTACTCTTCATTCGCAGTATTTATTTATATGAGGTGTCCTGATTTGGTCGAGATGGTTGATGGAAGCACAAGAAACATGGATGGCGTACAAATGGGGAGATTTGTCACGGGGACATTATTTCTGGATGCTGGCGGTGGGAAAGCGTACTGCGTTACTTTTGCAAGTATAGGAGGTGAGCTTGGGAGTTTTTGATGATTGCAGATAAAATGAATTGATTTTCCCATTACTATTCGTGTATATTGAATGAATGAACATGATTCGGTGTTCGAGATTGAATTTGAAACGAGTTTCTGCTTTTCATCTTCGAATGTTCTCGCTTCCAGTGAGTATCAAATACGCCACAGGAGGGCACGACATACTTGGTGGCAATAGCGCAAACGCGTGCGAGTAAATATTGTACTGTGACCAGGAGTCAAATTGCCCATTGCTGATAACGTCGCTGACAAACAATTTCATTGGGATATCGAATCCTCAACTCCTTCCTCATTTGACCATTGGTGTCTTCCACATTGAGTGGAAAACATCGTCAAACACTCGCACATGTTTGTGGTATCCATAGCCTCACCAAGAAAATGCTTGCACAGCATATGAGAATCCGCCAATGAGAACTGCATATTTTTTCATTGGTGCCAGCATTTCCACACCTTCTGGTGAACATCGTCGACACGCTATTTTTTCCTTGCTTAGTTTGCTTGGTCCCCGATGAGGAGCGCATCTCAGCTGGCAAGCTTACTATAGAATCCCATCTCAGGAAGTGACAGAAAGCACAAAATCTCGATATACAGCCAGAACGATTAAGTAGTACGACATGGCATTAGCGGCTGTAGATGCATGCAACTTGTCAATACAATGTTCCGATGTTATGGAACCGGCCATCTGACTGATAATGTTCCCAGGAGAATGTAATAGCTGATATAAAAGACGAAGGTCAAGCGAATCAGTTGATCCATCATCCGGGACGGGTTACGTGTCCTCCTTCCCGCTTTTACTACATGAACGTCGGGATTGTGATATCGTATGTCGCTATCTTCTTGCCACAAGAATGGAAGAAATTTCTCTGCATAGTTGTGACATGGTTATGGAGATATACTACACATATATCCGGCGTGATTAATTCATCTCATCGATATGAACAGCCGATAAATTCCGCAGCACGTCTATGAAAGTCGTGCTATATGACAAAAATATGTGAGTGAGGGCGATCAAGTACATCGTAAGCCCCTTGTTGTAATTCACTGTAGTTTCCGGTGTCCAGATTCGCAAATGGAGATAGAAAGTAACAATCCTGCCAGGTATGTAAAACAAGAAGGGTATAAACCACTAAGTCTCAGTGTGACACCACACCACAGTCACGTGTTTCCACTGATCGTGTTGCACCACATTGAAGAAAATCGCGATTGCAGGATTCGGATGAAGACTATCATAAGATTGGTTAATGGAAGAATATGGTTCGATTGAAGGAAAAACACCTGCATGTGACTATCAGCATACGCAACTAGTATGTATGAATGAGATTCTACTTGGTAAAGAAATGCCTAATTCCAATAATGTCCTGATCTTCGTCCTTCATGAGCAAAAGAGTGATATTTTGGGCTCGGGTTTCGAGAATGTTGTAATGTACAACAGTAAACTGTTTGATTTCTCTCACTCTTGAAGACAATCTATACTTCTGGTGATCTTCAGCCTTGAAACCCTTTGGTCATACTCTCTCAGCATGTTCCTACCATCTGCTTAACGAGGAGGAAGTATTGTAACAAGCCATTTCTACCCCTACTACGCCAACAATTTTTCTTACCTCGAGATTCAAGAGCTTTGTGTTTCTTTCGCTTTGTCGTCGGCAGCGAAGTATGCATAAAGTATGCATACACAGTAGAGAGACAAACAGGTTGGCATCTCCATGTTCTGATATATGCGATCAAATTTTGGGCATCACAAGAATGTACAAGAGCAACAACACTCTATTGGTGGAATTCATGTGATGATCGCAATTGTCTCCATCATATCATACATCTTGTACGTTGAAATACTCTATCACATGATGGATAAAATGCTGCTATGATTTCTCATCTTTCAAAACGTTGGCGACGTGTACCTATGTATACTAACTCCGTGGTCGTTCCCCTAGTTTAACGTTGGTAAAGATGGAGCAGAAGTTTTGTATGATCAAAGATACAACGACATTACGCCGATTGAAGTTCGATGAGGATGAAATAAAAATCTCATATTTTTGATAATTCGCGATGAAGAATGAAGTTGAAGATATGCTCAAGCCTGATGTTCCGAGCAAAGGCCGCCACTTAGCGTTGGAACTCCTTCCCCAAATCCGACATTCTCATTACGCTAAGTGTTACTATGCCTTCTCTTTCTTCGTCGTCTCCACAAACTTATGCCCATCAAATGATTACTGAGACTGACAAAAATATGAATAAAAACTCACCTCGTACAGTTCCATTTCCTCGAGACTATCAGAAAACACACAGAAAGTGGAATTAATACATACATGCTCACGACTTCTATGAAAATCCGATAACCTGTGAGCTCAATACTAAGCTTGAAGAGAAGTATACATGAGTGGGCGTTTATCTTCACGGATGATTGACTTTGAATACAGACAGAAAGATGGGATGAAAGATCAAACCATCGTTTCAAGACTTCAAACACGATCGTAATAATTATCCACCCACACAATGGACCAAAGAAATCGTGTGCCAAAATGTGAATTTACAGACGTAGCCACGCCCTGTCTCCTTTCAATATTCTCATTCAGATTTGGCAAGTGGCTCTTCAGACTGAGATGTTTCTAGCATGTAATTTGATCGTGCGATTTTGTCATCCAACGAAGCGCCTCCTATTTTTGGTGAAAAGCCAAATCGGTCGTATTTGGCTGTTCGCCGATTAGGCCACAAAGTCAATTGATTCGAGTGGGCGCCGCGCCGCACCGAACCGATGAAGCATTGAATGTATCCTCTAGGATCTCTCCAATTTTCACATTTGTTTATGGCGAGGTCATATGAGCTGTCAATGCCTGTAATGGGTAGCCTCGGTTTCATGAAATTATGGACAAGGCGGACTTGAGCGATCAAAGTGGAATGAATGTACGCGTTTAAACTTTATCCTCGCTCTCGGTCTCCTATTCACAGATTTCAAACCTCGGCATTCCGGCTTTGAAGCCCGAGTTCACGATGGAGTCAATCTTTCTCAAAGATGCAAATCATGCAATGCTAGAAACGGTTGGCAGATGACTATTGATTGAGAAGCAAGAGTCTCGACCATCAGTTGCTCCATCTTGCGTTTCAACTCCTGATCGCTGTCAATGTTGTCTAACGCACATATGTGGATCTAATGAAAATTTCTTTCATGGGCGTTAAGATTTTGCGGGGGAAAACAAGGGAAGAAGAATGAAGCGGTGTTCTTCAGCCCTGTTGCTTCTACATTGGTAAGGGGTGAGCTTGTGAAGTTGTGGGGAATGAATTAAAAGTTTTCAGTGTGTTGACATCACTAGAAAATCTCTTTTCAGTTCTGACTCTAAATTCTATGGAGCTTTGAGTTGGTAAAGGTTTATTTGGAAAGACATTCAAGGAAAAAAAAGAAAAAGAAAAAAGGCGAGGGAAAAAGAGGAAAAAGAGAAGATGTCTTTAGATACAATGGTCTCATTGGTTCATTTCGATTAAATGATGGCATCAAAATGACAGTCCACAGAGACATTGAGACATTGAGACATTAAGCCATCATTTCGCCATCTCGCCATCACTGCGGAATATTGCCCTTGTCATAAGTTGTCAGCACACAATTTTGGGTTTTCATGGTACGGTACCTGAATATCTAAAGCCGAGCGGAGAATTTTGAATTGGATAGCTACCTAGGTACGTACAGTCAGGTAAATAAGCTAATTGGCGGTAAGACGAGGCTCTTTCGTAGTTTAGGTTAGGTGGGAGGTTACCCGAGTACGACTCAACACCTGCAGTTGATGGGTAAGCTTACATATATAGAAAAATTGATGAGATCTGGAAAGATGATGGCGATATATGGCGATATATCATTAAGAGTTGACAATTCAATTCAATGATTTCTTTTGAAATGATGTTTTCCATAACATGAAGCACGTTTTACATGGGCACAATTGATACGTAGAGATACATACATAAGTAGTCAAGTATCCATTAGACTTGATCAACAATTACAAAACGCATAAGAAACAAATCAACTCATCTCTTCCATACATGGTGCCACTTTCTTTGACACTCTGCACTCAAGGAAAGCTCTCACCGTACCACACACACCACATGGCCAATTAGTAACTTGTCCCAAGCGTAATTTTTCTGCTCAATTCATCGACTTGGCAAGTTGGCACGCATGAGAGATCTGATGCGAA